CTCTTTCATCTACTCAGTATCTTCAAAATGACCCTGAGATTCTTCTTCAGTTTCAAGAACAACCAAAAGTCATAGGAAGCAAGGCCTGAACTGTAGGGAGGTTGGGGTTCAGTTTTAATGAACAACAACCATCTCTCAGCTGTCACCAATGAGTCTTTCCTTCTGTTTGTCACTGAGCACCCTAGATCTTCATAAATAATTATGCGTACAGTTGCCACACTAGCTTCAAACTGTTTGTCTTTAGAGACACATGACAAACTTCATGTAAAAATTTTTGTCAACCAGTTCTAATGTCCACATTGTCTCTCTCATCCTCTCCACTGCCCTTCGACCTCTTGTGCCAGCAAAAATCAGATGCTCAGCTCATAGAAGTTAATTAATATGCAGTCTGGAGTATTTCATACATTTCTGTAGCATTTTTGCCCAGTTCAACACAAAACTTTATTGCATAATGATCTCACAAATTGTCTCCACATCCTAACTGCATTCTGCAAAGTTTTCCACTGTGACAAGCAGTGTTTAGTAGGGTCTGTTCAAAGAGCGTTTACAAGTGTCTTCTTCAATCTGGAATAACGAAAGTTTGCAAGTCAACTTATTAGATGTATAATAATTATATAGTAAAACTACAATAATTTAGGAAGGTTATAACTGCCTCCAAATGTCTCGAAGCATCTTGAATGCACCTTGTGTGTGTGTGTGTGTATATATATATATATATATATACACACACACACTAGGTTTTTGTGCAGCTGACACTTAAAAAAAACAAAAAAAACACACACACTTAATTTTTCCCTAGAATTTGCTGAGTCCTGGTTTGCTTAGTCATTTAAAAAGCTTTTTATATAATTAGTAAATCTTACCTGTGATATTACGTGTTATATAAACAGCTAGTTAAAGATCAAAGTTAATTTGTTTGTCCTTGCAGTGAGAAACTTTTCAGGCAAATGGCTGACCACATGGAAGCTGATGGTTACAAAGATGTCGGTTATGAATATATTAACATTGATGATTGCTGGATGGCCAAGGAAAGAGATGAAAAGGGACGGTTACAAGCTGACCCCAAAAGATTCCCGAATGGCATCAAGAAACTTGCTGACTATGTAAGCATCTTTTTATTTAAAAATTTTACATTTGTAATCAAAGTTAAATATGAGTTTTAGAGTTCAGTATTTCTAAAACTATTTTTTCTTTATCAGGACTGTTATAAATGTTGTATTAACCACTCTCTCTCATCTTCTATATCTATAAAACAGAATGTGTGTGTGTGTGTGTGTGTGTGTATGCTATTTATGCACATCCCCATTTCTCAACTGATTTTGATGAAATTGTACACATGACAGAAATTTACCGAGGTATGTAAAAACTAACTTTTCAATCTTTTTGTAAATGTGCATGAAACCTATTCAGTTTAAAAATTAAATATCTAAGGGAGGTAACTTAACATAAGTTTTTTTTTTTTTTTTTTTTTTTAAATACTTACAATTTTTAAAAAAAAAATTTTACAATTTGAGCATCCCAAAACATTGCTTTTATAGACATTTTAAAACATTGTTGCTATACTCATAATTACTTTAATTTAGTCTTGGTAACTTTTTTTTTTTTTTTTTTTTTTTTCAAAGTGTTTCAAGAATTTGAAGTTTTTGTTTTATATTTTCATGGTGGAGTATACTTGTATTGACAATTAATATTTCTCTAAAATGTGAATGTTCTTTTAAATGTTGTGCAATAGAACTTGAATCCAGCAAGTTGGTTGTATTAAATTTATATAGTATATAAATTTAGGTAACTCCGCGAAATCGCTAAAAAAATAACATAGCATCATGAAAAAGATGCCAAACTTGGTGAAAACAAAATTTTATCATCTAAATAAGTTTTTTTTAAATTATTTTTATAAAATTTTCTTTCTTTTAAAACATTCTAAATTTTTTTTTTTTTTTTTTTTTTTTTTTTCTCCTTGTTTCTCTTTGTATCACCAGAACTAGTAAAATAACATAGACAGTTTTTAGCACATCCTTTTTTTTTTTTGTATGACACATATTAATTTGGAAAATCTTGCAAAAATAAAAATGATTGTCGGATGTTAATGAAACTTTCAGAAACTATTCACAGATGATAGAAATTATTATAAATAAGTCTTTTTTATTAAGGTCATGGCAGAAATATTTTTTTATATATTTATTAACCCCCCCCCCCCCAACTAATTTTATGAAAACGCTAGAAATTCGATCAAGTCTAGTTTAATGATTACAATAGTTAAAAGCACAAGACTTTGAGGAATGCAAATCTTTTTTCTTCTTTTTTTTTTTTTTAATGGGACCTCCCTACCTGAAAATCAGCTCTGAATTGTAACATACAAAACTCAATAAATCAAATATATTAATTTCAAATGCTTTTATTTGCTTTTATGAATATGGACAATATTTTCTGAAAGCAAAAAATTTTTTCGATGAAAAATGAAATTTTAATACAATTACTTGTTATTTCTTTAATTATAATAGATTTTTACATTTAAGTTAACTAATTATAAAATTAGTTAAAAGCCGCATCACATTTCCTAAGTGTCCTTATGAGATAGATCTTTTTTAGCGCGTTGTAAATTGTATCGTTTTGACTGATCAGAAGATCCGCAGTAATTAAATGTAATTTTGTGTTCATAAAAATTGTTAAAATACGGTAGGTCACAAGCAATAAAACGTCACGTGGCTTGAGTGTAAGTGTTCTCCGCTGAACATCGATTACATTATTGAAAATTCTTTGTGCGAAACACATGCTGAGCATTTTGAATTGGCGTTTGTTACTCATTGAAAAAATTTGAAGATCATCCTAAGCCATTTTCACCATCAACATTACTACATTTTTAAAAGTACCATTTATTTCATTTACATATTTCATTGCAATTTTAATTTTTTGAAGTTGTTTTACAGTTTTAAGTGAGTCATCTTTATTTCAATTTTATGTGAATTTTTTATTTCAAACAAACTGTTTTCGATTCAATCACAAATGTGAAAGAGAGATAGATATCTAGATAGATATAAAATGTCATCCAGACAGACAGGCTATTTCGCTGTATCACAGTCCTTCAGTGCAGTTAGACGTCCAATTGTTTCAAGCCATAATCAGAACTCTACCGATTTGTCATCAGTCAGAGATCCTACCACTAAGCTGTCGGCACACAGCAGAGAGAAAGGAAAAGTTTAACATTTTGTATACGAAATATGCCAGTAGCCAGGAGAGCTCAATTTGTACTTAAAGAGCAATTCATTAACCTTTACCATGCTAATTTCTTTCTAGAATTGTTCCCCCCTGGCACTTTTCTTTTTTTTATTTTTTTTTTAAATAATTGTCCACAAACATGAACACCTACTGTTTTAAAATTGTTATCACTTTCTTTGTATTCTGTGTATAGATTTTAATTTTTGTACACTAATAAAAGAATGAATGAGTAAATATTTTGATGTAATGCATTACATGAAAACAAAAAATTGAAGCACGAAATAAAAAAAAAATGCAAAATAAAAAGCAAATACATTAAAAAAATAAATAATTTAACGTACCTTAATTTTTATTACTCCTTGTGGAGTTCTGGGAGTGCAATAAGAAGCAAAATTGTTAAAAAAAAAAAAAATCACATGTTTACATGCAAGAAGACCCTCACATTTGTTTGCTCTTTCTTTCACCTGACGCATATTTGTCTTGTTGACGAATTAAGTTATTTCATCGTTTATAAATAAACAAAATAATACGCCTTCAGAAAGACCATCAGATATATTGATGGTTGCCAGTAGCTTCCATAAAATTACTTGGGCATGGATGATAGTAACCACTAGTGGTCATCATCGCTTTCCTCTACATCACTAGTGCGCTTATCATCTCCAACCACTTCACCATCAATATTTACTCAAGTAAAGCTCTTCAAAATCATCAGTGTTAATCAAAGAAAAACTTCGGAATAAAGGCTTTGTTGGATATTGATGCTGCCATTTTTGTTTGCAAAAAATTAACATGTGTTTAATCAATGTTACACCTCATGTAGAGTCCAGAAGAATTCAAAATGGAATTGGAAAATGGAATGTTAGCCTTGTTCCAAAGCAGTAGTAGGCAATTTCCAGCTTAAAATACCAGAAATGACAGTTGATAAGTGTTTTTATATATAGCAACTCTCAGGCAACAGAAGTTGCTGATAGTAGTGAAAGAGAATTCAATGGTGACTATTGTTGCCTGCAGTGTGGTAAAGGTTAATAGTAGCAGTAGCTACTGTTTTTAAAATTAACTTTTTCTCCAGGGGGCTATATTGGATCTCTGAGAACACACATGACATTCACAGACACTGTTTCACTGTATCACAGCTCTTCAGTGTGGTTAGACATCCGACTGCTTCAAGCCAGGATCAAAACTTGACTGATTTGGTAGCAGCCAGAGATCCTACCCCTAAGCTGTCAGTGCACAGCAGAGAGAAAAGGAAATTTGAATGTTTTCTATATGAAATATGCTATATATTTTACATATAATATATATCCGAGTACAGGGTTGGTATAAATGGAATAAAATTCTGATAACCAAAAACACTATTTTTCAAAAAAGTGCTCAATACAAAGTAGAACAAATAATATTTATTCAAAACTTATATCATTACAAAAATAGCCATTTTGTTTCAACACGTAATAAATTGTATGAAAACAGATGTATAATGCTACCAACCAACTCCGTCACATCCACTATCCAGAACAACCTATCCCATCTGAATAATCTCAAAATAATCACAAAAACTTCTAAAACCATTATGGGTATAATCAGATCCTCAAACACTAATAGCAATAATATTTCTGAAGCAGGCATTTATAAAATAAATTGCCAAAACTGTTCCTCCCAATGTATTGGAGAAACGAGCAAAAATTAAAAAAAAAAAACACATGAGCACAAAAGAGACCTCACAGAAAAAAGCAACCAATGCACAAGTCCTTTATAGAAATAAATTCAACCAAAATCTGGATTTTAAAAACGTTTCACTCATAAAAAAAAAAGAAAATAATTCGCTCCAAAGGAAAATCCTTGAGTGCCCCCATTAAATATTATCCAAATATTAATCTACGTCCAGGCTTTTTCCCAATATCACCTTTTCTAACAGAATTACTACTTCCCAAGCCAATGTACATAACTGCATCAAAAATCAAAAGAAAATGGTTGAATCCTTCAATACAAAAATAAAAACAATATTTATATACATGATAGTACTTGGTGTAATTTTCAATTGACAATATGAGTACAGTAGTATTTACTAAATTCTACTAGATGCTAAGGACATTTTGTTTGTTGTTAATAGTTACTTTTTCAATAAATTCATTTTGGCTTTGAAAAAAGTTCAGATTGTACAGAATGCATAAGCTAATAATACATTTTATATATATAGTCATCCACAGACAGACTGTTTTGCTGTATCACAGCTCATTAGTGTGGCTAGACATTCAATTGCTTCAAGCTGGGATCAAAACCCAACTGATTCGGCAACAGTCTGAGATTTTTTTCCCCCTAAGCCATTAGCACATGGTTGAGAGAGAGGCAAATTTTTACGTATTTATTCTGTGAATAACATGCCAATGACTGAGAGAGCTCAATTCAAGGAAGGGGAGAGCCTTGTAATGTTAGTAGTAATAGTCACTGCTTAGGAATGTATATTAAATTGTCATCCACAGACTGCTTTGCAGTTCATCAGTGTGGCTAGACATCTGATTGCCTCAAGCTGGGATCAAAACCCTAACTGATTTGGTATTCAGAGATTTTACCCCTAAGCCATTGGCACATGGCAGGGATGAAGGTGAATTGGACAAGTGTGTGTGATATATATATATATATATATAGACAAGTGTGTGTATATATATATATATATATATATATATATATATATAATATAAAATTTCCCACTTCATGGTGGTTCATTCTGAAAATAAATTTAGCAGCCTAAAATTTGCCTCATAACTGGTGCTAAATATTTGAAATACCCTACAAATATGCAAATTATATATATATATATATATATATATATTGTAATCTATTTTGCAAAAATATGCAAACTTATATTAAAAAAAACTTGGAAAAAAAATATTGATCAATGATTTTTATTGTTTTTAAAGTATTGATTTGAATAAAAACACAAGATATTTGTCTGTGCAGAAGGCAAAAATTTCTGATTCTTACTAAAAAAAAAATGGGAGAAAATCTTTAGCTTCATTAACACTTACTAATTTTCTATTCTACTTATTAGGTTCATAACAAAGGCTTAAAACTTGGCATCTATGAAGACTTTGGTACGAAAACGTGTGGTGGGTATCCTGGAAGTGAATTCTTCTTGAACATTGATGCTCAAAGTTTTGCTGAATGGGAAATTGACCTCTTGAAACTTGATGGCTGCAATGCAGATACCAGTGATATGTCTACAGGTAGGATCCAATTACACACACACACACACACATATATATATATTATTTTATTATGTTTATTTTACTTAGTTTTTTTTTTTTTTTTTTTTTTTTACATTGATCCAAATTAATGGATAGCTATGGTATTTTGTACCAGTTTGTTTTCAGCTGACCAAATGATTTTGGTTGTAATTTTACATTGCATGCAAGAAATATAAGCAAACCTAATTGTAAAATATTTTGCTCGAACTAAGGACTGTTCATGTGATGTTTTGTAACCTGTTCTTTCTATTTAACAATACTAATTTGAACAAATTCATGTGAGTGTTGTTTTTGTTTGTTTTGGGTTTTTTTTCCCTACCCTTGGATATCGGAAAATAATAACTATTGATAGTTTTTGGTGGGATTGTCCTTACACCATACAGAAAGTCATACTTCATATTTATTAAATAATATAGGCAAATATTAGACTGGTAATTATAATTGTAAAACTCACTAAATGTATACTTTTACATTACTGCGTTTGTAACACTATTTGGGTTGCTAGTAATTAATAACAACTTGGAATATCAACTAAAACGCGATAATGATGAATCCCTTAGCATGAAAAGGGTTAAAAAATATCAAGAATGATAGACCGATAACAAATAGTTCCCAGAGAATTGAGATTTATTCAATAGATCAGATGCCTGGCTAAAAGCAATGCTCAGTTTGTGCAAATAGGTCAAATGTTGACAATCTTTGGCAAACAATGCCTGGATCTGACAGGAGGAGAATTGGGTTAAACTAAATAACTTCATTTTGCCCGATGTTGGAATGGAAAACAATAAATTGAATGCCTACAGAACAAATTGCAACCATAATGTGAATTGCAAAAATTTCCCTGGGAAAGTGGCTCTTGGGTCAAAGATGAGAAAGCCAATTGTTGTTTCAATTAGCATTTGAAACCATAATTTTTTTAATTAATCTTTGACCGAATGCTGGAGGTGACAGTCGCAGAAGAGTGATCAAAGAAGGAAGGATGAGGGGCTCCCCTGTATCCACTGAAGGGTAGAAGGCACAAACAAGACATTAAGGAGGTTGAAGCTGTTTATGCCCACTGGAAACTACTGGTGGGAGATGGTAATAAGAGAAAGTACAGGTAACCAGGCAGAGCGATGCCTACACCCATCTCCCATGAGAGGAAGAGAATTCTCCAAAAATTATAGAGTAATTTAAGTTCTCAGGACCAAAAACAATGGACTTTTGTTGGAAATCGGGATTCACGAAGACCCTACCTACATCTTTCCCCACATCAGTTTCTAGCTGGAGTCCATAAAAATGAATGCAGCACAAAAGCCATTCAGACAGTTAAGAGCTGAGAATGGAAGCTGCAGATGTCACTGAGAGATTCCACAACTCCTGCTGAACACAAGAACCTCAGACTTGAGCCAAAATTATCAAATCAGTAAAACAAATTTTGCTAACTCTGCAAGCCAAAATTTACCAGCTTACCAAAGTGTCTGATTTAGAAACGGGTTGGGTCAACAAACACCTGTATGCGAATGCAACTACTAACAAACCATTGTACGCAGTATTCGATATAAAAAAATAGTAATTATTTTTTGTATATACATTTTAGAGTGCTTTTTTTTTTTTTTTTTTCAAAAATTTTATTGTGCGACTTCACTCGACTTGGGCCAGCCCAACACGAAGATACCTGCAATGAATTGATGTTGGCCTCCTTATCAAATCAACATGGAGTCAAAATTGAAGAGATATTGGAACAAATATTTAACTAATTTATGATTGTAAATTATTGAATGTTATGTAATAAATTTGTATTTTGATTAATCAACTCCATCAGAACATGAATTCTCAAATTATAAAAATGAAGTAAATTATTTTATACAAAAAAATTTTTTTTCCTCTAAGGTGGTAGTAATTATTACTATTATTAGTTTAATTAAAACTTAGAACATTAAATAGGTAGTGACCTTCCAGGGGAAAATTATAGAAAACTGTCTTCAAAATGTGCAAGCTTTGAGATCTTTAAACTTACTTCCATAACCTTGTGTGCATATATATTTGTTTTTAAGGTTAAATACACAAAATATTTAATGATGATCAGGTCTAAATACTTGGCCTGGATGTATTTTTGCCAAAACATTAAGAGATGTTACATATAGTATACAACATCTATATGATTGAATGTGTGGTGTAATGGCTAATAGCCTGGAATAAGAAGTCTGAGAGTTAATTTCAAATTCCAGTCAGGCTCATTACATTTACTTAGGCACAAATACCCTTGGGAAAGGTATGAATCCATCTCTTCATACCATCTTACTTATTATAAAACACAGATTGTGTGTGTGTCTGTAACGTTTATATATTCGATCGGATTTCCTACATTTTTCAACCGATTTCAACAAAACTTCACAGGACTACATAAAATTACCTTGTGGTGGTTCTAACAGCGCCAAAAATGGGAAAAAATATTGTTTTTGCACAAAATCAATTTGAAAACACGATTAAGAGACATCATGAAAATGGAAGGGGGACAACTCACATCGGGTTGTTTGTGTGTGTGTGGGTTCCTTTAAATATGGGAGCGGATTTCCTATATTTTTCGGCCGATTAAAACTTTTTTTTTTTTTTTTTTTTTTTCTTATTCTCTTGCACACTTTTTTCTTTATTTTTAACATTCAGAATGCTTTAAAAATTCCATTTACAAGAAAATTATTTATAATAAAATTCAATCAGGAGACTCATAACGATTGAAAACAATGGGTTTTTTTTTTTTTTTTGGGTTTGACCAATTCAAAAAAAAAAAAAAACTAATTAAGACATGCGTGTCCGTCAACCTTAAACAATAATCTAACGATCTCTACTGATTGTATGAATACAAACATCGGATAAATTCTTTATCTTTAAGGAAAGATAATGAAATCTAAACATACACAAGTCCTACCTAAAAATAATAGCCGGAACGGGAAACTACTTTAAATACACATGGTGTCCAATTTTTTTACTGTATTCAATAAGTAAAAATCATAAATTGTAAGAGATTATTATTACAGAAAGGCTACTAAATGAATAAGATTTGTTAGATCATAATTAATAAACCCAAATAAAGTTGATATTTTTTGTATTAAAAACGAGTGGAAAATATATTCAAATCAGAATTCTAATTATGAATCACCACAAGCAAAATATGCAATTTTTTTTACTGTATTCAATAAGTAAAAATCATAAATTGTAAAACTAAAAGATTACAGAAAGGCTACCTACATTTTTCAACTGATTTCAACAAAACTTCACTTTTTTGCATGTAGTGTTTCTTATTGTCTTGCACTTTTTTTTCTTTATTTTTTACATTCAGAATGCTTTAAAATTCCATTTACAAGACAATTGTTTATAATAAAATTCTATTCAATCGATAGACTCATAACGATTGAAAAACAATGTCTTTGTTTGAGTTTGACCAATTCGTTAAAAAAAAAAAAAAACACTAATTAGGACATGCGTGTCCATCAACCTTAAACAATAATCTTTGTCAATTTTATTTTTCAGTCTTTATGATGGTGGATACTTGATCTATCTCTTACTGTTATATCCCCGGGCAATGCCGGGCTCTACTGCTAGTCTATCCTAAAAAGAAACTCGAGAAATCTGCCTTGTCAAGAGACATGATCACCTAAGCATGATACCAACTTTTTTTTAAATCAAAACTTCAGTTGGGTTCCATTAATTTCTTGGGCCCAGCTTTTTTTTTTTTTTTTTTTTTTTGCTGGGGAAAAAAAATTATTCTGTTTGTTTATTTTATTGACTTCAATCTATTTTGAAGTTTTTGATCCGAACTGAAAATTACTGCCATTAATTTTTAATATGGATACTAAAACTTCTATATGAGTCTTGTATATGGAAAATGTATGTGGGTTTCATTCTAAAAAATAAGTACTAACAAACAGCCCCCCCCCCTCAAGTGCATTAAAATCTGAAAATGTTTAATAATAAATCTAAAAAAATGGATCAGATAAACAAAGAATGACTTGTCAATGTTTAAAACTTAACATTTTGTGGTGCAGGGCCTGAATGCTGGTAACCAATATTCTGACAATGCTGGCACACATGAAGAAGTGTTATGTGCTTATGAATAACTTAGTATTTTATTTAACGCTTGCTTGTTTATTAACAAAGAAATCACACAACTGACTTATCTGCACAAAACTAAAATATAATGAGTTTCTAAACAGAAATTCAGAATAAATAAGAAATGTAAAGCCCATTTTGCAGTGGCACTCTTACATTCAGAAATAGTTATTTATTAACAACTCAGTTTATTTGTAGTTTTGCACCCAAACTACATGACATCCAGTGAGGATAGAACTTGTTACTAATGATCTGCAGGACCAGCTTGCTAGCCATTGCACCATGCATTGCATTTGCATAAATGCTTTCAATTACTTGACCAAGATGTTAAAATGAAAAAAAATGGTATTTACTAAGCTTAACTTAGTAGTATAAAGCCAAATTGTCATGGGGTTATGGTAAAATTGTAATGTGCCACTCTTCCAAGGGAAGGGGTTTGCCTTGCAAATCTGCATTCAAAATTGTGGCTTCAAACAACAACTCTTGCCATTGAGAAATAGTTCTTACTACTAAGTAAAAATTTTGTTTACTGAAATTGTACTTCTGTTGCAATTTTGTTTTCAATAATATTTGTTGTGAATTATTGTTCATTTGCTGTCAGGCTATCCTGTGATGGGATTGTTCCTAAACCTCACAGGCCGACCAATTCTGTTCTCTTGTGAATGGCCTCTCTATCAAACAAAACAGGTTAGTCCCTTACAATGTCAATGGATGATAATGGCTGTTGTGATTAATATAGGATTTTGTATTCCATTTGCTCCCCATTATTTTCATGAATATTTTTTGTCAATTTTTCGATTTCTATCAAAAATAACTTCTGTAATTTACGATGTTTGAAGATTTTGATACAATCATTGTAATTGAAAATTATCAAGTGGGTCGTATGTGCATAAATAAAAGTTCTGCCATTTTACTTTCTATTATCAAAGACAACAAAAGATAGGGTTTGGGGGGGGTAATGAATTTGAAGTCAGTTCAGTTTGAAATAATTTCAAGCATTTATCAAATAGGAATCTATTCTATTTAAAATCTACTTTATCCTCATCTTAATTTTTAGGTATAATTTCATGAAATACTTTCACTTTAATCTTGTTTTTACAGGTACAAATTAACCTAAAAATTATGATCTGATATATCTCGGACCTTGTACATGAAAAACCTCAAAGTACAAATTGAAATGAAATAATTCATTTTCATTCTAGAATCTTTCATACTTAAATTCAGTTTAAATACTTTCAGCTTTTATTTTTAAAAAAATCTGTATGAAATCTGGAAGACTTATTTCACTTGTTCTTAGTATAAAATTTCCAATGTTTGGTCAATTAATTCTAATGTGTTGTGGCTTTGAAAAATAAAGATTGAACATTGTAGCAAAAAAAATCTTAATGAGAAAATGAAATTGAAGGTTTTTTGGTTTGTTTTTTTGTTTTTTTTTCTTGATTAAAAAAAAACAAAAAAACAGTTCTGTTTTATTTAATGCCATTTATTTGATGGATAGATAAAGTAATTACTGATTGCAGTAAATGAAAAATATTTTGTTTAATCAAGTTTACTAAGTCATTGTGGGAGAATCAGTTCCAATCTAAATTACTTTTTTGTAAAATTTTTAAAAAATTTAAACTTTTTATAATCTGACTTTTTGTGTGTTCAAAAATTCCTGGAACTCTTAGGAACAAAAACAATTGTGTGCAAAAATTTACAGCATTTCTTATTAATATAATAATAAAGTTTACATTTTCTGTGTATACAATTTCAAGTTTCCTAACTTCATATAATTTTCAAGGTCTAGATAATCTTATACTGAATTTTTGAAGTTCTGTAAACATTGTTACTTTAAATTTGTAAATGCATTACCTTCTGTTTTTCTTATCAAGGCAGAACGATTTATTGTTACCTTTATTTTAGTGCTTTTAAGTATAAATTTAGCAAAAATTAGAATAAATATGGAGTGCAAGAGCAATAACTGTTTGTCAGGTTTCCTGGATTCGTAATGATTTATTTAAAATTATATAATACCAAGAATTTCTTCAATAGTTCAAATAAACTATTTAGCTAAATTTGCATATACATGAGAAAGAGATAACAGGCTTTAAAATGTGATAAAAACTACTCAGAAAATTCTGCCTGTGTCTGAACAAGTCTTACCTTTTTAATACTTTCAATATAAGATCAGTTAAAAATGTTTATTTATAATAGTAGCCATGGCTGCAAATTAGAATCCTTAAAACTAACATGTTTTATCTCTCTCTCTCTCTCTATATATATATATATATATATATATATATATATATATATATATATATAATTAGTTTTTGTGTGAATAATTCATGTATTTGTAAATTGATTGCACGCTTATCGTAATTTAAATAACTGATCCAAGTGCGACTTTTGGATAATAAGTGCAACATTACTGTAATTATTGAACAATATAGTTCATGCCACTTTGACAGAAAAATTTACTAGTAAAAAAATTTGTTCATCACCATATTTTATATGAACGCACAACCTTTAAAAATTCAAAATCAAACTCAGCGTTGCTTCATGCTGTTCCAAAAACAATAACTCATTTTCAATAGCATTTTCGGATACAACAATACATATATTTTCGTTGTCCTCTTATTACTAAGAGAAAAACAAGAACAACATCTATTCTATACCTGAAGATGTCTGTAGGAACAGACGAAAGCTTGTAGTAAAAATAAGAACTAATACGGCAGAAATTTATATAAACAGGGGTCATTTCATTCATAACGGATTTGGAGGTTTTTGTATATTATTTGAATTGTTTATGGCGATGGATGTCTCGCCATTTAAATCATTAACCTTTTGCATTAGTTTTTGTGTGAATAATTCATATATTTGTAAATTGATTGCACGTTTATTGTAATATATATATATATATATATATATTCTTTTGTTTGTCAGCAGGATTATGTTCTTGAAAGTGGCTTCAACACACCAATTGCTCAACTCTATATATTAATTACAAAAGATTAAAATTATTTAATGCAACTCTGAGTCTTCTGTGTTCTAGGGTATCCTCTAATGGGCTTCTTCCTCAACTTAACTGGTAGACCATTTCTCTACTCATGTAGTTGGCCTGCTTATGTCAGCAAGGTTAGTTTTTGTATTATTTTTCATTTAATGTTAAAGTTCTATATAAATCATTTATTCCTCTTAAAAGTATAAATAAAACTATAAATACTTTTTCTTTACAATTTTTTGTAATTTTTTTCCCTCCCAAAACAATCTGGCTATTTCCCCTTACAAATGAATAAACATTTTCATTTATTTGCTAAAGTAGCTATATTATGAAAGACTTCAATAAAATCTTGTCACACAAACAGTTACTAATCTTGCCCTCCTTCCATTTAAAAAAGATAACAGTATTTAATTAGTTCCTTAGTTTTTCTTTCTTTGTGCTAAAGATTGTTTTAGTGTTATTGTAGAACTTGCAGTATGTATATTACTGAGACTAAAGTTGGGCAGTCAAATTACAGTCATTTTTATCAGTCAAATTTTATTAAATTCACATAATTTTATAATAGGCTGATTTGGCATAATGCTCAGTTATTAAGCTCTTATGCCTAATGAAATGTCTCTGAGAGAGAATTGAAAAGTCTTTGACCCAACCAAGAAGACTTTGAAAACATTCTGATTTTTTGTTTTGATCAGACTTTAACTTTTTTTTTTTTTTTCATCTATTATTAAAAGTTCATTTACCCTTAAATGGCAGCAAAAAAAAAAAACTGCTCATTTCAACCTCATCTCTGAAATTTAATCTATTTATGGTTAATCTCATAAAATTCAGTATTCAACTGTCAAATATCTATTTTTTATCCCTTGCCAGTAACAAAATCTTAGTTTTGATGTCACATAAAGTATAACAATCCTTTATGCATGGATGTTAAAATGACATCTGGGAATTCTGATGAGAGCTTTAATTCATTTCATCAGATTCAATTTGTTATCTATCTGCTGGGCTGTTTCATTAAGACTGGTTATAATAACCAATCATTAAAGAGACGATTAGTATTCAGTAGCTTGAAAAGATTTGTTCCATTCTTGCCTACTTTTAGGTCACCCTAACACTTGTATAGGTGTCAATGTATTGTAAATACTTTTTTTCTTTTTAAAGAAAATAGTGATGCATATGAATAGAACATTCAAAAATGGAAGTATTGTAGTTTCACTTTCTATAATTTTATAATAAACACAAAAATGACTCAATTAGTGTAATTCATTTGGCTAGAGAGTTGGGGGCGTGATTATTGGTTCTTTGGCTATGTTCTGCTAGTAGTTATAACTTAGTTTATCTGAAAGGTTGGGACAAAAATACAAAATAATTTCTTTTAATTATAGGGTTTCCATCAGTATCTGGTGTCATAATTATTCATTATTAGTGTAGTACCTTCGTGTTGCATGGATTTTTTTTTTTTTAACTGTATTTTTAGCTTGATAGCACTGCACGTCTTCATCACATAAGTTGAATGTACGCTTTGTTTATATCATTTAAGATTTCTTACTGCTTTGGTCTTTCTTTTTTTCCCTGAAGTTTTCAGGGTCTGTCTTGAACCAACTGTTCCCCCCCCCCCAATCTATTGTTTAGAATGTTTTAAATATACTCCCTACTAAAAGCAAAATTATATATAGTGGAAAGATTGACTTTCTTTGTTATATTCAAAACTATTCAATTTCTACTCTCCTTTTGAACAGTCTAACAAATTAATTCCTTTTAACTGGAAACATTTTCTCATTTAGAATGTCATTTCTGCTAATAATATTCCATATGAAGTATTTTATTTTAATTTCATTTCTGCTAATAATATTCCATATGAAGTACTTTATATTGAGTAGCAAAAAAAATAAAATAAACTTGAGAAATCTATTTGCCAAAATATTTTATAAATTTCAATCAAAAGCAGTGGGCTGCTCTATCAATGAATGCCAAATGTTTCATTATTTTGAAACGGCTAATATTACCATTATTCACACCTTCCACCCATTTGTAATTTTTTTTTTTTTTTTATCATATTTCCTCAATTTAAATTCTGTAAATGTAATTTTGTATTTGTTAATTACTTTATCTTAAATGCAAAATCAGTAAATTAACAACATTATTTTAATAGTCTTTGGCATCAATTTTCTTGTCTACAGCCTAACTATACAGCAATTGCCAAATCTTGTAATATTTGGAGAAATTACAAAGATGTCCAGGATTCTTGGGATAGTGTTGCTGGTATCATTAAATTCTATGGTGACAACAAGCAAAAGTTTGCAGATGTTGCTGGTCCAGGACATTTCAATGATCCAGATATGGTATGTATGTTTCCTTTTCTTTTATGTTAGTCTGTGGTAGAGAGGAATGATATTAATTCAGAATTCTATACATACTTACTGATTTGGGGTAAAGTACATTTAAAGCAAATGGCAGGAGTACATAGATTAGTGTTGCCAGGAGCTTATTTCTGATATATATTGTTGTAATGGAAAACAATTAAAATTACTTTGATATTTTTCATTTCAGTTGATTGTTGGTGATTTTGGTTTAAGTGAAGATCAGCAGCGAGTTCAGATGGGAATGTGGGCTATCATGACAGCACCCCTTATCATGTCTGTAGATTTGCGCAATGTAAAACCCTTTGCTAAAGAATTGCTTACAAACCGAAGAGTCATTGCAGTCAACCAAGACCCAATGGGAATTCAAGGAAAAAGAATCTGGCAGGTTAGTTAAAACTCTTTCAATAAAGTTTGAACCTAGTGTCAAATTTATCATTAATTCTGAATCTTAATGAAGTTAGTTTCAAAAGTAAACTTGTAAAACAATTTCAGGTACCTTTGGGAATAAAAAGAAAAAAAAATGCAAGCCTTCCTACCTTTTACTCTGCATGTTCTTATGCTTTATCTAAATATATTTGCAGGTTGAAAATGTTGATTACTGGATGAAGGAAATTCAGCCAACTGGAAGTTATGCCTTTGCCTTTGTTAACTTCAATACAAATGGTGTTCCACAAAAATTAAATTTTACTCTGAAATATTTACAATTCACAGATCCAGCTGGTTATAACATCACAGAAACCTTCACTGGAAAATTCCTGGGAATTTATAAAATAACTGCACTTTTCAGTACTTCAGTTAATCCAACTGGAATCTTCATGGCTACTGCTGTTCCTCTCTCAGTATATGGACGTTAGTTAAAATTTATCTCTATTCAAAATATATTTTTAAAAATTTATAAAATGGGAAGGAAAAAAAAGAAAAAAATTTATGTAATAAAACTTTAAAAATTGACAAAAAAGTCTGTAGGCCTATTTAAATTTTTAACTGTAAGTCTTCTCAACAAAAGAGAAAAAAAAATTGAGGATAAAAATGGCTTTATTATCAAATGTTTTACTGATTGATGGTTTAAGATTGAAGCAACTACATAAATGAAAAAAAATTCTATCAATTTATAAACTTTTTTTTTTTTTTTTTATACTTTGGTAGAAAAAGTCATGATTTATTTTCATAATTTTGTAAATGATTAAAAATACACATTAACCATCTTAAAACTTAATCATGAAAGTAACCTAACCATTAAATGAATAAAAAAAATAAAAAAATTGTCATGTGGAGGGGGTGTCATATGTTAATAAAATTGATACATCTTCTTTATGGACTTTGTAAAAAGGAATGTAGAATTATTATGCACAAAGTTTCAGTTTTTCTGTGATTGTCAAGTGTTTAAATCATCTGCTTTTTTTTTTTTCTTCATTTATTAAAACAAACTAGAAAGCATTTTATCATTTGATTCTCATGAATTCTTGTCAAATTTATCATTAATTTTGAATTGTAATGAAAGGTCAGATCTATAAAGTTTTCTGTGTAGATAGTTTTATAAGTACCTTTTGAGAGAGAAAAAAAAAGCCTTCCTACCTCAACATGTTCTTATGCCCTATCTAAATGTTTGCAGATTGAAACATGTTGGATAAGTCAGGCCATTATTAACTGAGAAAAAAAAATCTTTACAAGATACCAGAGACAGTAAATGGAGGCACATTTTTTTTTTAATTACGTCCTGTTTAAGTTCTGCTAAAAGCATGTGGTGGTGGGGGGTAAAATTGCGTAAACTTTGTGCCAACCTAATCTAGCTAATCCTCAAAACAAAAAAGTTTATACAATAGAATTGACTGTCCCAGTATGACAATTTTCATTAGTTCTTACAGAATTGGAGAGGAAGTGATAGAAAGCAGTGTGTTCTGTTGGTCTACACATTAGTGGTCTCCTAACTGCACCATTTGGAAGAAAGTTGATTCTGGATCATTCATTAAAGCATTAGGTGAAGCAAATTCAATGACCTGAAAGTAATTAACAACAAATTAATTTTGCACTTGAAATTAGAAATACTTATTGGAATTTAAAAACAAAATTTATGAACAGAATTTTAATAATTTAATAACAATGAAAAATATTTTAATTAAAAACACTTATCTAATAAAAAAAAAATAAATCTTCATAACTAACTTCTATTGTCAGTCAAAAGATGGAAGGTGTAACAATAAGTTACCCAGATTGATATAAATCTGATGGAGGGCACAATGGCCGAAATGTGATAAAGATGTCAATGTAAATACTGTATGTACTCGTGTGTAAGCTTCTTTTTGCATGAGAAAGATAAAACTGACTATACTCAGGTATACAAATATTAATTTTAAGAAAATTGATTAAACGTTAAAATCTGTCATGAAGCTGTTATTTTATGTATTCTAACTGGATTACAAGTTTTTATTTTTTAGTGGGAAAGGTGTTCTTCAAATATTAAATTTGTACTGCATCATTTCAATTATAATTATCATTTTTAAGTCACCAGAACTCATAAAAAGTATTCTGGCTGTTTTATTGAATCGTGATTTTTTTTTTTTTTTTTTTAAAAACACACACAAACAAACACTATGCTATCCTCCACCCCCAGTGACTTAAACTAAATATAAAACTGTATAAATTACTGCATTATTTTGCTTTCCCTTGCAAATATTACATTTTCTATCAATTTTCTCTTGTATATTTTGATTACTAATGACATTATTTGGAAGAGTCAAGTTTACTGGCAGCAATTTCCAATGTGTGTGCATGTGCACTGAGTAGATACAAAGCTACCATAGGCACAAAAATAAAAAATCTCACATACCATTGAATGTGAGATTTCTATGCTTACCCCTTTGTAACTTCAAACATGTTTAAGATGGCTAAGTTTGACAAGTGCCTCTCAGTAGTATATAATTTATTAATACTTCGGTGTAATTTAAGATGTTAAATAAAAAAGAAGTGTCTAGCTTACCTGCCCCTTGTCCATAACAAGTATTTTGTCACAATGAAGAACCGTGTTGAGTCGATGAGCTATGGTAAGTACGGTACACTCAGCAAATGCAGATCTGATAGTCAACTGGATCATGGCATCTGTTTCTGTATCAATTGAAGCTGTAGCTTCATCAAGTAACAATATCTGTAAAAGAAAGAAACAATTACTATTTATCTAAATTTAAAAATAACGCTTAGTCATAATGACTGCATCATCCACTTGTAGATGGTCAGTGGGTTTTTATTAAATTTATTTTACAAGCAAGTTAAGAACTATAATAAAGTATTTACTAATTACAAAATATTCAGTACACTAATTATTAAACAGGTGTCTTAACTTACAAAAAAAAGTTCTCTATGGCTCTGACCTAAATTTTTATTCTGATCAAGAACAAAATCTTATGAGAGCTGAACCTTACTCTTGTTATATAAAGATTACAATTTTTCTAATGTTTAAATGATCATAAAAATACAGACCACATAACATTGCATTTCCTACTTTTTTTATATGCAGTTTTTTTTTTTTTTTACATAAGTTAACACATCAGGACAGTTTGACCATTCTCTTGGCCAACACTCATCTTAAGATGCAATTCTCTCAGAGCCTCTCCATAAGAAAAAAAAAAATGACATTCATTTCACATTTCTCACATTGCTTCTTTGGCAAAGATTTCATAGAAGAAATCCAAAGTTTCATTTTTATAGTTCAACAGATCATGGTTCTCCACAACTTCCTATCCTTTGTAGCTTTTGGCAATATTTGTCTTATCCTTTCCACTTCCTATTCTGCCAGTCTACAGATTAGGTACATTATTTATTTCCTTCGTCCCATCTTGCCTTAAATATGTCATGTGAGTGGCAAATTCTGTAAGTCATTATGCATTCCCTGAAATTTCAACTGTTTCTTTCTGATCTTAAGCAAATCCTTAAAACTTCTTTATTGTTCACATCTTCTGTCTACGGTATGCTCAGCTTCTTTCTGTTGAACCACCTCAAGTCTCATTTTCTTCTGAAGAAGAAAAGGTCAGTATTGACAAACATATTACATAATGGTTGAACACTTATCCCTACCCCCAAATTAGATTCATTAAGCTGATAGTCGAGTGAAGTTCATTCATTCATTCATTCATTTGCAGCTGGCGTCTTAGTGCTATAAAGATGGATCTACTAAGGTTTTCCAGTATATCACCATTGTCGTATTTCATTATTTTTGTAATTTTGTCAAAATATTCTAACACTGATAGCATCAATTTCATTCCCATCTGACTCAATTGCTTTTTGTTCATTTTGGTCAGTGCCAATCTTGCATCAGACTTTAATAATTGAAGTCCTATGTATTGCAGGTTTTTTTGTTGTTTTTTTTTCTTTTGGAAAAGTTTTTCAATGTATACCTTCCAACATTGATTTTTTTTTTTTTTCTTTCTTTATTAGGAATGTTCCATTTTCAATTTTATATCTTCTGTCAAGGAGCACTATTTTTCCCTTTTCTTTACCCAGTTATTTCTTTTATGCATACCTGCTATGTTTTTGTTCAAGTATTTCTCTTTTGCCTGCTTACATTTGTTCTTAATGCTTGTGTTTAATATTCTATACCATTTCGTGGTAGTGCTTGCTATCTCTTTCATCACATCGAGAATTTAATCTGTCATCTATTTTTTTTTCGTTTCATTCCTTGGGATGTTCTTGTTTGCTGATGTTGCTAGAACTTCCCTTAAGATGCGCCACTTTAAATTTTTGATCTCATCTGTGCTATTAAATTTGCTCTGAACTGTCAGACTACTTCTATTTGCAAGTTGAGTCATCCTGGAGTCTGTCATATAGGAATTTCAGCATTGCTTGGGAATTTTTTTTTTATTAAATTAGACTGAGGCATTCCAACAATCGGCACTGGGATAGGTTTTATGGTGTAGAATTAAATTCCAGAATTTCCCATTGATTGTTACGTAATCAATATGGTTCTTCATTTTCCCCTTTCCATAAGTACATTGGGTGATATTGAAACAAGATGTTAGCTATTATTTGGTCATTTACTGTGCACCATTAAACCCATTTTTATCTGCACTTGTTATGGGTTCCTCATCAGTACTTGCCCACTATTACACCATCTTGTTCCTTTCTGCTTTGACCATTTAGATCTTCCATGATGGTAATTTCTTGTAATTTGCATTGATTCTTGGCATCATCCATTGTGCTATAGACTAATTTCTTCTTTCATGTTTTGGCACATATACTACTATAAATGCATATATTTAAGAATTTCTTTTAAATCCCAAATAGAAAAAGTGTCAGAGTTGAGTAACCCAGAACTTTTTTTTTTTTTTTTTTTGCCTGCATAAATGAGCCTATATCTAACACTTACACGTGTCAACTTAGTATGGAACAAGATGGAGAAACTGTCTACTGTTTGTTATTGGGCACCTGTGTTATACTATCCAGGACTTAAAATATACATTTAAATATTATAGGCTGGAGTATTAAATGATGTAATAAGCAGAACACTATTAAAAATAGAACTCAAGAAAAAGAATTAATGTTGATTGCTCCAACAAAGGCATGAACCAAAATCTCTACACATTCTGTATCTTCTATCCATTGGCATTGAACAATAAAACTTGAAAATCAGAGTGAAGTTGCACATAAAATTATGTTACAGATGAGTAATAATCAAACAATTGAATAACCCATTTTTAGAAGTATGGCCCAATAGAAGTGGTTAGATTGAATGGAATTGTATAGTAATGTGTTTCAGTACTGACCTTGCAAACTTCTTTCCAAAGCCCAACCCATGAGCTATACTAGCTAGCGTTAATGGTTATAAATATCCTCCATAATGTTGTCAGAATTTTTATCATTTCATTATTGTGCTAGAAATTTAATAGGAAATGTCAAACCAATCAGCGTTTTTTTTCTTTAATTGCATAATCTGTTCCCAACTGTTTAGTTATTTATTACCTTTTAATATTCAGAATTTCCTGTGACTTGAACAAGTGCTTTTGCTTGAAAGTTTTTGGTGTTTCAATATTTAGTGGAAAAAGTTCTTCAAATTTTGGAAAAAAAAAAAAAAAAAAAAAATTATTCCCACCATTTCAAGGCTTTGTCAAAAATAGTGTTGACCCTTGACATACGAATGTTAAAAAAAAAAAAAATTATGGCAACAGGATACAAATTTAATTTGGCATTTCCATCTTGCATTGGATTTGAGTAAATTGTCTTATCTACTTGAGCATATTAAAATATAGGAAACTAATTTACAAAATTTAACTTAGTAGCATAAGAAGGCCAAATTGTTATGGGTCACGGTAGGAAGATCGTATTACTCAAGTAAAACGTGGTTTGCATTTGAAAATCCTGACTTCAAACATCAACCATTCGAATAGTATGAAAATATACTTCAACCAGAATATGTACTTAGTACAACACTAGGCCCGCCAATAAATGTGGTTAAAACAATTATAAAAATGTCACTGATCCACATCGATTTGTCTACTGAAAACACTAAGCTTAGCTTCATTGAGTACAATGTCACTGATGTAGTATTCATGATGGCGTTCAAACTAGCAATAGTTATGATCAGAGAGACTTGTTTACTAACCAACAGCAAGACTCCCAGTAATCATTAAAATATTGAGTTTAGTTATGGCAAATTTGCCATCAGGCTACATTTCTAGTACATCAACGAAGGGGTGAAATGTTTAAGTGGTTATATTACAAGTTGATATCCAATAGATCAGGGGTGGGCAACTCATTCGAGCCCACGGGCCGGACGAAGGCCATTAATGAAAAATTAAGGAAAATTACATATGCAGACCCCTGTCAACCTAAATATTTAAAACTATAATGAAAATAAGCATTGAGAAACAGAAAAACAAAAAGTCTAAAATTAAAAAACACCTAACAAAAATCACTTTTTCTCAAGGAACGTCAAAATACTTCAAAGTGAAAAAAATCAACCAAAGTGAAATGGATGAAATTATGACGTGTAAGTTTGAAACTGTTATTGAAAATTGTTTCACAAACGAACCACACAAACAAAAACGAAGCACATATACCCATACATACGAGTACAAATAGTTGCAAACGTACACATGCAGTATCATCCACACATTCATGAGGCATGTATGTATAATGCGCGTATGTTTAACCGTCTTTAGATTTCTGCTACCTCGCATGTCAGTCCCTCCCTGGCCTCTTTCACTTTATCGTTCCTTTCGCTTCTGTTATCTTTTAATGTAGCCAAGCGTCATAAAAACGTAGGCAACACAACTTGGTAAAATAAGTCTCACGAAAGATAACTGGCAGATTGTCTACACATCTCAGTGCACTAAAAATATTAGACTTTCTGTGGAAAATGACATAAATTTCATTTGAAGGTCGTCTCTCCTGTTAAAAATAGTCATTGGTAATCAGGTTGCCGACCCTTGCAATAGATATTTAAGAGTAAAACGTATGGATTTGTCTTTGTGCTTAAACGCACCTTAATGTATAACAAGCTAATCCCGGCAGGTCACTGCGCTCTTTTGTCAAACTAAATTTGATAAACGCCTACAGTATCAAAACTATTAAACTGATGAGAATATTACTGGAAAACGTATTTAAAACAAGTTTTAAATCGACTACATGCAAAGAACGAACTCTTGCCTAAGTTATTGCTTCGACTGCAAGTAATGACCACATAGTTATCATACGTCAGAGTCGCAACATGGAAAAAAATCGATATGGTGGCGAAATAAAATTCAGTTCACATTGATTTGAGTCAAATATCTTCGGAGACTGCCGCTACGGAGACTTTCTCAGCATTGTTAAAGAACTTATTTACCGTGCCTAAGACAAGTTCAGAAAGATAGAGGAAGTGTATAGAGGTTCGAAGTTGATTTTATCGTTGGTATTGACATTAATTGGCAATAGTAGTTGGAAACCATAATTCGAAACTATTTCCAAGGCTCTATCAATTTGGTTTGATAAAAGTTCATGATTAAGAGGGAGTGAAAAAACTCTCACATAAGACAATGACTGACAGAAAAACAAATTTAACTAATATCGATTGGATTGCTGTGGAGAAGGAATATGAAATTGTAAGACTTGAAGTCCCTAATAATCCAAGGCTAAAAACATCACTGACGATATGTGCTAGAGCATCCGAGAGATGTCATTCACGCAACAATTTTTTTTTTAAATAAATTAAACTTAATTTCTTGGGTTGAGTTTTTCTGGCTTTAAGTTTATTTGTAGTGATTTGAAAAAAAACTGGTGAAAAACGATGTGTGAAAAGTCATGGTCGCCTACATTCTGAAGGGACATGGCATAAAAAAAGCAGGGTAGACTGGTTAAGAAAGCTTAACAGGTCTAAGAGAAGAAAACACTTAATATGAAGGAATAAAACAATATATAAAAAGTAATGTGTGGAAAGTCATGATCGCTTACGACCTGAGGGTATATAACATTAAAAGAGGAAAAGAATCTGTGGAAAGCTAGGATCACCCGTGTTGTGGCTGTACGGGGCATTAAAAAATGTGGAGTCATGATCGCCTACGTCCTGAAGGGACATAGCATTTAAAAACAAAACTTAAACAATTGACAAACACAAAAACAATAATTCATTCGAAATATATAACACTAGTATCAGCAATAAAAACAACAAGGTTTAAAACCAAGAACTTCTTTTCCCTTCTAATAAAAATGTTCTGTTTGCTTTGAAATTCATAAAAACAAAGCGTCTTCCTCCTCTTTCTGAAAATCAGGTACTGAGTACCTAAAATGGATTCTAGTTACCAGATTAGAAAAAGAAATAAGTCCTCAAATCTATAAAAACCCAATTTATTCATCTATAAACAGTACCTATAATAGAACAAGAACCGCTTACGTTGAAATATATTTGCTAATATTTAATTATTTTTGAAGTCTTAGAATATCAAACTGGGACATTCACTACAATAAAATAGTTCTCTTCAAGTTTTTTCTTGAAATGATACTCGCATACAAGATTGTTATTTCAACAAACTGTTATACTATTCTTTGTTGCCCATGAGTGATCTTTGACTTCAATGGAATGACCTTTCTGAGCATTTGAAATTCCAAAGTCGTTGGATTTTCTAACATTAAAACAATAGTTTCTTATTGAGAGAAAAATGTAGACATACAATATATATCATAATTTCTATATCTGCTTACTTTGTTGTTAAAATATACACCCTGAAAAACAGTTTTGCATAACTATCATAAGATTTTATTGACTGATAGGCAAGGTACTTCAGAAAATACGCTTAGCACAAGGCCACATATATGGCATCTAAAACCTATCAATAATTTTCGAGACTAATACGCGAACCCTAAGTTTGCTACGAGCAGAGCTATACTTTTCAACATCATAGTTCATTTGTTAACGAAATTGTCTTAAGATACATTTGACTAGCTACGATGTCACACGAAAATATATATTTAAGTGGAGTAATTTTGACATTATACACCTCAATCTTCTACATGATGATCTTATTCAAAATGTATCTATACAGGGTGCGATGAGTAAATTATCGCCATTTTTTTTTTAATTTCGCGCATGCGCATTGTTTTTGTCAACTGCACAATATAGTAGGTCAGCTGGACACCGTCTGTAAGAAAAAGAGCAACAGGACGCAGTTAACTCAGCCAGAAATTTGGCTGAGTGAATTGCATCAATTCAAATTGTTGCATGAATTTTTTCAAGTCTTCTTGTACAACTGTCTAAAAAGAAATTGCACGGAACCATATGTATCTTAGTTGTCAACTAGAGCAAGACTTTCTGCCTAAAATGATGCCAATAAACCATTGCTTGGTTGGTAAAATGTATATTTATTATTAGCATAGGTTTTAGCTGTTATTACACATTAGCACGGGTTTATTTCTATCAGCACTCATAAAATATGTCGAAAAAAAATTATTTATTAAGTTATATCATTGTTTTTTAAGCATTTTCCTTTTTCGAACATTCAAGGATTTATAGTTTAAAGTTAGTTTCACGAAAAATAATTTTAGAATATTGGATTGATTTTCGAAAAATCGATATAAAATATGTATTTTTTTTCTAATGTGAAAAGTGATATCAATACAGAAGAATAGCAAAAAACGATAAATCAACTTTCTAAATCCAGCCATTGCGCTACACATACCTTGTTGTTCCTTAGAATAGCTCTTGCCATACAAACAAGCTGCCGTTCTCCAACAGACAAATTATCACCATTTTCTTCAACCATAAATTCCAAGCCGACTTCCATACTAATAATCTGAAAAATTATCGGTAAAAGCATGACAGTATAAAACCTTCAAAAGGGAGTTATTATATATTTCAATACGCCTACAATGTTCGTACAGCGATGGTTAGCTAACGAGCTCGATCTCCTAGGTCTTAAATTTTATTTATAATATTCATTATTTTATACTAACAAAGATGAAAACACCCAACTTGTGAATCCTGACTTAGACAGAAATTAGCGTGACCTATTATTCAATAATAAATTGTCTAATATTAAATCACACCGATGAGGACAGAAGGCAGAGAGAGATTTCGGCTTTATTGCTTGATTCAGGGCATTAGGATGAAAGTGACATGCATTCTTCAATTCCATTTCCTGAACTGATCGATGTCCCAACATAGCTATTTAATCCTATAAAAACAGGAAAGAACATTTTACTATAGTCAAAATTAAATGACAATCCTAAATGGAGTTATCGCTTTCAGAGCATCCTAATGCACTACTAATCTAGGCAATCAGAGTTGGATGCACAAAAAATATTTTAACCAATCAGTTTAGTCAAGCCATTTTACTTGTATAAATAGATGGCTCCGAATCAAGATAAGTAATAGCCTAGTGACCACGCATCTTTAGACTGACTCGATAGGATAGCTAATTAACACCTAATACAAATAATCAGCTATTATTTCTTACTGATCAGAAAGCAGGGAAATGTTTCTGCATAGATAAATAAAAAAAATTATTTAAACTTTTATAAAAGATATCCAACAATGAAGCATAAAAGTTAGAAAAAAAAAATCTCAAATAATTTTGATTATATTCAAAAGTTGTATTCCACTTTTAAAAAATCATTTTCTAGTTTTAAAAGCAAATGTGTGTGAAAGTTATGTCGTGAAATATGAAAAAAAAAGTGCCATGCTAAAGTTTCAAAACTTTTAATACTAGTTGTTTGGTTGCCCTAAAGGACTCAAACAATTTTTGAAAAATATTTGTCAATACCATGCTCTTTGTTCATATTGAAACAAATTTATTTCGAAAAGATACTTGTTAAATTATTCCTCAAGCCTTTAATTTAACAATATTAAACATAAAACAACCTACTGAACTGAGGTAATCGGTGGAATTCTTTAAATCACTTCAACCTTTTTAAAAATTCATTATCTTGACAATAAAAGGCTTTATTATGAAATTGTTAAAGAGCAGAAACTATCAGTTTACAGAGATTTTAAGAGAAACGATAACCAAAGTGATGTCATCAGATATAAATAAAAATTTTAAATTTTTGGTTCATTTTCGAGAAGATTTAGGGAAAAACTAGGAAAATTATTTAAATCTCGAAGCATTTATCTTCAAGAACATTCAAAAAATAAATGCTGACAATTGAACCTTAGTTCATATTCTCAATAGCTAAATCAATCATACGTTATATATATATATATATATATATATATATATATATATATATATATATATATAATGTACATGGCTAAATGTTTCACTCTTACCTTGTTTTTCATGTGAACTTTTGAGAGCGCTTGCCATAATTCATCATCTGTGTATTTTGAAAAGGGGTCTAAATTATACCTGCAAATTAATTTGTAATTGGTAATTAACAAAAAAGTGAGGTTACTTACATAAGTAAAGTAATTTGGACGAATACTGAAATAAACAATTTTGATTATATTCGAAAGTTGTATTCCACTTTAAAAAAAAAAAAAAAAAAAAACATTTTCTCGTCTTAAAAGCAAATAATGTGTGTGAAAGTTATGTCGTGAAATATGACAAAAGAAAGTGCTGCCATGCTAAAGTTTCAAATTTATGCATTATTTTATCAGATCAGTCACGACAATCCTTTTTATTGTTCCTACTGCTGATAGAAATCATTGCTGCTATGGAAGAAAACATTTACGCAGAATAATCGTTCAAATCACTTATTTCGTTTTGTTATAAGCTAAATTAAAAGAAACAATAGTATCCTATATTTTTTCAGAATATATGTATGCGTATATATTTATAGGTATTCTTGTGCATCTAGAGACGGTTAGAAAAAAATCATTTGAGGATGGAGTTTTCGGAAGATGAAAAAAAATGTCGGTATCAAGAGATCAGCATTCATATAAAAAAAAAGTTATACACACACACCATGTATAAACTGATAAATAGATTAAAAGAAAAATTAGGTAGATAGGTTTTTATATACATCGATAGAGGTTTGGATATGATAAAAGGATTTTTTGATAAGCGAATCCATACTGTATACGGAAGGATTTTTGATAAGCGAATCCGTACTGTATACGGAACTATTTTTTCCTATTTTCTCCACCTCCGAACAGTTTACCATTTTAACCGTCAGCGAATAGGAATATCTTATAGGAAAAAAAATGCAGGACTACATTCGAGTTAGAATCTTTCCTGCTGAAGAGGCGTGATTAGTAAAGGACACTTAGCAGAAGATTAATACCAAAGAGTTCGATTCACACTGTGTGCAACCAACCTACTTGTGGCTTTGTGCTGTTCTCCAATAGACTCGACAAATAAAAGGTCACAGACATCAGTTTTTTTTTTTGTTTTTTTTTTATTGATTGATTCGTCTTTGCAGGTTATTTAAAGCCAGAAAATACTTTTAGATTGTAAGAATTTTTATTTTATTTTTTTTAAGATAATAATGATTTGGTTCTACAAGTCTTACTAATTAACTCATAGCTGGAGAAGAGATGGATTCATACCTTTCCCAAGAGTATTTGGGCGTAAGTGAATACAAAGAATCCAACTGAAATTGGAACTGCTTTCCGATGATTAATTCGGAGTCATTATCCATTACATCATCCGCACTTCCAAGCTTACAGCGCCTGGTATTCATGAGCGGTCACCCATCTAGGTACTGACATGTCTCGACGTTGCTCAACTTCAGTAATCATACGAGAGCAGGTTTCAATGTGATATGGCCGTTAAGCCTCACATCACGTTGTGTACAAATGATCTCTGATAATGAAAATAGCACGGATCTTTTCATAGCCAAAATAAAAGATTCATCTATGTTATCATCTATACAACTATTTTTTACAAATGTAGAAAAAGAAACGATTATACGTTAAACTATTTTTTATGAGAGAGAGGTCAAAACAGTTGAGAAATGGTCAATCTTCTGTATTCGAAACAAAAGTATTGATTACAAGTGTCCAGAGGGAAAGGTGAAGGATCCAACATAACAATAATAGAGATACAAAGTCATGGTTAAAATATAAATAAGTCTGTAGACTAGAGTTAGGAATTAATCCAAGACTGCTTAATGAATTTATAGAGAGAAGAAAAAAAAATTGCCCGATATCATGTTCGATTTACTTCCTTGAAACTCTTTCAAACTAATTAGGCCTATCTTTGGATTTTACCTAGAATTTTGTTTTTAAAGAATATATCTCGTCACTGAAGTGGCATACTTTCAACTGACACCAGTAGCCAGTGTACGAATTCAAATAAAAACTGGTATTTCGAATGAAAGTTTTCAAAGACAAACCGCTCCTGCTGACTTGGAAGTTTAAAACAAGTCAATCTTTCTACCCAATCAGCTTTTTTGAACTTGTACCATACTAAGCTTAGTAAATATCAAATTATAAATTTCTAAATACATAAATAAATTTGCAGCTTAATGAAAGAAACATTTGTTTGACACATTTCCTCAACATTGCCAATGTACGTAATTCAGTGAGGATTAATCACATAGCACATTATACAGTTAAAATTCCAAATCAAAATTTAATGAATACTTACGTGTCAAGCTACGGACTTATTGATCCATCCGTATGTATAATTGAGCACGCGTGTGCCACCCCACCACCACCTTGATATGAGTAATGTTTAGCGAAATATTAGAAAACTATGATTGCTGCATAATAAAGTTCAACCTTCACTATGCTCTACATTTGTTGCCTTGTGCCAGACTAATCCAAGCTTAGTAAATACAGAGACAAAGGGTGGAGGAAGAAAGTTCTCGGTCCGACCAAGAAGAAATATTTTTTTTAAAAATCTGATGTTTGGTCATTTTGTCAAATATTTGGAAATGATTAGAGTTAAAAAAAAAAAAAACTTTTCGGCGTCCATCTTAAATACTTCCGTAATATAGTGATAAACAAATTAGCTTTGCCGAACTATGCTAGCGTAATGGCCTAATTCCCACCGTCTGTTCCACTATTATATTAGTGTTCTAGACTGAAATCAAAGTATCTTCTAAAGAACGTGGTGTAAGACAAGGATCTGTCTTCTCACCGGGCTTATTCAAGCTGTACAGCAAGGCGATTCTTAGAGAACTAGAATCGCTACCACGATTCATTATCGGTGGCCTCAATCTTAGAAACATAAGGTATATGCAGATGACACAGAAAGCGACAAACACTCCTACAGAAGGTAGTGACGGAAAACGAGAAGAAAATATTAAACAACTGAAAGAAATGCATGGTTGTTAGCAAAAGAATGAGCCAAAGTCGGAGATACCAAAATCAAACAAGTGCGGAAATTTAAGTATCTGGAAAATGTTTTATCAGAGGACGGATAGTGTGACAATCAAGTTCGAAAGCGTATTGAAATAGCCAAGGAAGCATTCCAAAAGCTAAGCAGAGTACTAAGAAATAGAAAAACTTCGCTAGAAACAAGGAAAAAGAGTACAAAACTGCTAAGTGATATCTGTCCAAAGAGATTTAAAGCAACAGAAATGTGATTCTACAGACAATGCTGAGGATACTATTAGCCGAACATGCGAAAAACGACGAAGTTTTGGAAAAAAAATGACACAAAAAACAAACTAATGTTTATCAGGAAGAGTCACTTGAGGTTTCTGGGGGCACATAAAGGAGAAGGGCTTGGAATATCTGATATTCATCAAACAAATAGAGCAAGAGGGACAGAGGAAAACAATGCATAACATACTTAGTGAGTTTGACTAAATGGATAGTGAAACAGGACTTAAGAGAAATAACAGAAAGAAAGTTTATTAAGAGTTACAAGAGACAGGATGTTGGGGATAGCCATGATCGCCTACGTCTTGAAGAGAGTTTCATGCAGAGCACCTAGTAAGCATTGAAATCATGGTTTACTAGTGTTGACCGGAGAGAAATCTACTTCGAAAATCAATAATCCATAGCCATATTTTGGATTATTGCCACTATATGACTATTCCTTTCCCTCGTTTATTTTTTCTTACATTATGCCTAGCGTGGATTTAACATGTACAATGATCAATCGTAATACAATTAACCTGATAAAAAAAACGAAGTTAATTCGGCAACTTTTATTTTACGAGTACGTTATATTACCTAGATAAAATCGATATGAGGAGTTGAAGAAAAATTCTCAGTTCAACCAAGAAATCCTTATTTTTAAAAAAGGATGAGCATCCCGTTTAACAAAATTGTATCTATTTTCTTTTCATCTGCAACTAAGACTGGAACAAAGAGAAAACGAGACTGTTGAAAAAAAATATGAAACGTCAAGATTAGCTAGTATAACACATTATGGATTGTTTTGGTCTTTCCTCAGAAATGACTGGATTCTTTCAACGTGTATACTTGGCGATCACCTATGAGATGTAACGTTTGGCTGAAGTAGTACAGAGATCGAAGAAATTCTAACTTTAGAAATTTTGATCAAATCGAAGTCAAGAATTAGAAATTGTCTATTACTTTTGCCTGAAAGCACAGAACAACAGATCACTGATTACACTAACTCGACTTTCCTTTTGCTGCTACATGATCTTTATGAAGAACGTGTAGCAGCAAACTAATGTCAACTGGCTATAAGTTAAGACTTAACACTTCAACCAAAAAGAATTGTAACATTAAATAAAAGCAGTGATTTTATACCTTTAAACCGGCGTTTTCCAGTCAACTATCAGATCAGTAGATTTGTTTTTCTAGTGACAGTTACACTGATCTTAATGGTTTCGACGAACTCTAAGATACTTCATCGATCTAAAATACACAATGTAATATAAGCGGAAGGCCGACTGTCGAAGAGAAACCAGCGAGTGTAGCGACTTATTATTCCATCTTAAAACTTTTTTCTTTAGAAACAAAGAGTATTGAACTTATAATATGAGTCCTCTTATATGTCAGCGAATGCTGGATTGTCTCCTTACAGATGAAGAGATCTGAAGTAACAGAAATGTGGTTCTATAGAGGAATGCTGAGAATACAATGGACTGAACATGTAAACAACTACGAAGTTCTGGGGAAAATGGAAGCAAAAATTATACTTAGATTCAGAAAGAGAGTTGAAATCCTAGGGCGCATAACGAGGAAAGTGGGATTGAAGAATTTGACACTCACAGGACATTAAAAGCAATAGGGACAGAGGAAAGCAGCGAATAACCTACCTAATGAGCTTGTGTAAATGGTTGGCAGAAAAGGGATTAGGAGAGATAGCAAAAAGACAAAATTTACAAAGAACTACAAAGGACAGGAAGTTAATGTAGAGCCATGATTGTCCACGCCCTAAAGGAACGCGGCACATAGAATTGTTTTCGTTATCAACTTATTCCACCATCAGCTGTGTTTCTCCAGTTTTCTTTCAAAATTCCCTTTTCTCTTTCATCAGTGTTTCTTTTATTTGTATATGCGTTTTAGAATTTTTCTTCTATCCCTATTTTCTTAGGTTGGCTTTTTACAAAATTCATAAAATATTTGGTCTACCAACGTAAAATTTATGTAACTGTTTTATAACAGACTTCGAAGGTTTTAAAAACAAACAAAATTCATCTAGCAATTAATAAAGACATTAAAGAATTTCCATTTGAATAGAAAAGACTGAATAAAGGCACATAAGAAATACTACGCAAAAGTTAAACAATAGCAGTTACTTAAAAGTTGATTTTATTATAATAACACTGAAGTTTTTGGGTTGGAAAACCTTTTCATAATTGTGAATGCTTATTCTTATCTAATTTCGAGAAGTTATTGTTATTCAACAAATGAATTCATTCTACAATCATTCGATATCTTTCAGATATACTATCCGCATGGAAAGGTTTATTTTGCCGACAGTTAGATAAAAATCATTCAAAGTACTGCTTGCAATATATGGTATCGTTTTCAGTGACCTGTGTAATACAGTTTATTCTATAATTTATATGCAATATTCTCAGTTCTTTTCTATATAATAATTATCCTTGTTGAACAACGATAACCACACTAGTATGACTTAGGTATTTTGTCGACAGGTTGATCTAGGCTGAGTCTTTCAGTTTTCTTACTCCCCAGAGGCTTTAATTTACTCTAATTTAATTCCAGAGACGGTTGTATACGCCTTTCTCCCTCCAGCTACGATCTGCTATGCCAAATTTATTTTACTTTTCCCTTGATTATGGTCTTTCTATTCCTCGAGTTTGACTTGTTCTTTTACACGCTTGCATGCAAAGTCGTTTTTTTTGTTTTGTATCAAACTCTTTCGTAAGAGACCAACTATTAAGAAAGTTACGAAGAGGTCTTTCGCTATTGAACACTTCCATATGTATACAAACCATTTGAATTCGTTCAACTGCACTTCTTGCTCTAACTATATATTGATGTTTCTGAGAGTTAACTCCCCTGTTTCTAGTTTTCAAACAATATATGATGAATAATTGTTACGCTAGAGAGGAATCCTTGCGTCCTTTAACATGTTTATTTATGACTGTTAGCGAGCAAAACTGAATAGTAATTGAGCATACGATATACAGTGTATTCACACCTTAAATGGCAACGGTTTTTTTAATATCCAGAATTAACTCAAGAGGACTGACCTATAAAAAAGGAGTAAACATTAAAAGTCGATTTTAAGAGTTTAAAAAAAATTTAACTTTTTTCTTTTTGGTTTAGGCAGTGTTGAATTTGTTCTTCATAAGAATCTAGTCTGATACAAACCCAAATTTAAGTAATTTTTTTTGAAGTAATAACATACAATTTGATTTCTTAACATTTCTAGATGAAATCCTACCTCATTGTTCCTGTGAAAAGAACTGGGTCTTGTGGAATGATGGAGATTTTGGATCTTAATTCTTCGAGACTAATAGTCGCTATGTCAACTTGGTCAATATATATGTGTCCTTTGTAAATGTCCACAAGTCTGAAGATGACACTCCCTAAAGATGATTTGCCTGCAACAAAAAAATGTACACAAACTATTTATAACAAAACATGATTAACAGCTAGCCTGATCTTTCCGCTTTAGGAAAGAAATATTCATTTGTTATTGCAACAAGATATATCGGAATATTCCACTAATTGAATAGCTCATTACTAAATAAGGGAGATCAGGTTGCCAATAGATTATTTTTTATTTGTTTCGTGTTAGCTTTTGGGGGGATATTTTTACTTTTAATGATTCTAAGAGCATATTTTTCTTACATGTGACAACAGTGTTATATGTATAAACAAAGTCCTTGATTATTTATGCTGAAAATATAACAGATTCAATTGCAAAATTACTTAAATTTGGACCTCATACATTGACGGTGTTAAGAAACTAGTAGTATTCTAAAACTATAAAACTTAATATGATTGAATCAAAGCTTTCGTTTAATATTTATTTCTTAATTATGTTGTAAGTTTGGAATGTGCCGCATATTGAAATGAAAGCCTTTCTGAATGAGAACAGTTTTTCTAAATGAACAGTTCTAACGGCAGACTCTGGAAAAAAAGTACTGGTATTTGGCATAACTGAAAAAAAAAAAAAAAGAAAAGTATCTGCTGTTTAATTATCGATATACTCGACGGCTTCGATTACAGAGAATCACAAGAGTAGATTCCTCTACGTTCAATTCATAAAAAGGTCCAGAAGCAGCCAAACTCATAAAAACATTATCGACAATTGTTTGATCATTAGATTTTTGTCTAACTTACACAATTCATGATGAATTTTTATAACCGACAATCAAAAGAAACCCTAGAATACAAAACATCATTATGATATCAACTTCATAGCGGTTTCACTATCTCGTCAAAAGATCATCCCCGATATGGAACATTAGATTTCGATCAGAAAGAAGCAACATCTAGTAAAGATTATTATAAGCCATTAAGTAAAATCATTTTGTTTTTTAACTGATTTCTTTTCTCTCATTTCTGTTGTTTTTATTGCAACTCCCAAATCGTCATTTCACTATAATTAGTAAATAATTGAAAATGCATCATTCAGGAAATTTCAAATCCTGCAACTAATACTAATACTAATAGTATAATTGTTTTGAATCTGAAATACTAAAGTAATTTTACTAAATAAAAAATAAGCAGTATCGAGTTTGTTTTTTTATTACTGATCCCTTTTTTATGAACCAGTGTTAATCTTTGAAGTAATAGTGAACGCTACGTTACATTTACTAAAGTTTTAGTTTAAAAGAAATCACTCACGCATCATCATATATTGAAGCTGTAAAGTGCATGGCCGATTTGACAATATACAATTGGTCAATTCTACGTGTGTGTACTGAAAAATTCTCGGTCCGCATAAATAAAACCTAGGATTTTGTTCCAGTGTGGAGGAATGAGGTGAACAAAACTTTTCAACTTATTCCTCAGTTTAGACTACCTTATTACCATGAATCGAATTAGGCAGTCGAAATATTTTTCAGTGTAATACTGCATCTAAGAAATCAACATTTTCACAAGACATATACTAGTAATATATAATAGTTAAGACTAAATATTGCATACGAATATGGAAAACTGCGTATTTTTCTTTAATAAATGGATTTTAAATTCAACCTACCTGCACCTGTCCTTCCAACAATTCCCACTTTCTGTTTGTCGAAAATGTGAAATGAAACTTGTTTGAGTACGGGGTTCATATCGTCTCTGTATCGCATCCATACCTCTGAGAATTGAATGTCACCAGACACTGGCCAATCAGCGCATGTCGGCCGGACATTAGCTGTATCATCGACCTCCACTGGCAACTAAAAGAGAAAAGAAATTTATGAAAATTCCTGACTGACACGATGTAAATTTTAATGAATATTCGATCATTGTTATAATACATATCGATTGCAGTTATAAAACAGAGAGCAGTATACGGGTTATCGATTTCAGCATTTAAACCACGGGTTTACGTACCGTGGCACAGCGACGTGGCAGAAATACATTTTACTTAAAGAATCCTTTTCTGAATTTTAAAAGCACATTTGCATAAAAACAGTGAGCTGATTATATAATTTCTACGCAAAGATTATAATTTATGGTCAGTTATGTACCATGCGGGATACACGCTTAGGCGATCATGTATCTTTCGATACATGACTGATGAGGCAGATTTTTTACCACAGTAGGTTGCCATTTTGTAACTGCAGTAGACCAGTTGCCATCCAAGACAATAGAACCCAGACTGCCCTGCTATTTACGTATGAGCGTCAAGCAGCTCAGTTCCTAGGAACCGACAGTCAGACACCAGCACATATGATTTGATTATAGTGGTGAAGGTTTTGTGCAGGGTCCGAATACAGAGACATAGTGCACTACCAAACAATCTCCGCTATAGCAGACTGTGCTGCTGTTTACCCATAAAGAGGAAGGGAAAGAGGATTAATACCTTTCCCAATGGATTCGACTGGAATTCGAACTCGACTCGACGATTCCTCAATTCCACCATGCCTCCTCAATTTATCGTAAATATTTTAAAACCTTAAATAATGCTTACACCCTTCGCATGTTAGTGTAACTATAATTAACAATGACTCAATAGCAGCATTTGCAATTATGCAAGCTCCGAGCACAAATCTCAAATAAATAACGACATTATTCTCTCTAGTATATTAACAATTTCAGTATTTGTCTATATTTATGTCTATATCAACAATTTCATTTTCTAATTAAGTTACTAAGTTTACATACAAGAAATCAAATTGTACAGAAGTTTTTTCTGTGGTTAAAACACCAGATACCACATTTAGAGATCACTGAAAAATATTCAACAATAGATGTTTTATAAACAACAGATATGTTCCGATATACAAATTCTTTGAATTACACGTTATACGAATGGACCCAGTTAAGTAACTCCATCTATTTGAAAACTTTTGCAATACAAGAATAGAAAAGATACTCGATGAATGAAAAGAAAATTCAAAGAAAATAAAACATACTAATTAATTAAATTTATACAATATATTCATTCAAGGTCATTACATCATGCTTAGGATGAGTAATATAAGTTCCATTGATGAGGAGAAAAATCACACGTATCATGAAAACGTATTATTGTCTCTTGTATGTGACTGAATATAGAGAATTCAAATGGAAACATGCGATTTAAATTATTTCTTAATCTTTGGAAGAATTTTCAGTTTTAGGAATATTTGGGATATCATTTACAGCTTTTACTTACTGACATATATTCATCCAACCTTTCAATGGATGTGAATCTGGCCTCTGTATCATTCACGAGTCGAATGAAAAATTGAGACACGTTCAAAATCTGAAAAATAAAAAAAATAAAAATATTGATGTTAATTCAAAGAAAAATGGAGATGAATAATCAGCCAAACATTTTTCTTCCTTTGAGCATTTTCTGAAATACTGAAAAAGACGCCACAAAATGAAATCTCTTTCCAAAAGAGGGGTAATCTGGTGCCGTGTGCAAAAACTCGGAAAATCGACGCAAAGAGCTCTGTTCAAATCCTCCTTGGTGATTTCATTTGAAGAGATATGAACCTAACTTTTTTCTATGTACCCTGCCCCTTCAGCATGAGGGTAATCATGGCTCTCCACAATTTCCTGTCCTTTATTGCTCTTAGTAAAATTTATCTTTTTGTTATGTCTCTTAAACTGTTCTGCCTTCTATTTACATATGTTCGTTAGATAGGTTATGCGCAGTTTTCCACTGTCTCACTTGCCTTCAATATGCCCTGGGAGTGTCAAATTTTACAAACCCTTTCCAATTTATGTATCCTAGAAATTTCAATTGTCTTTCTGATGTTAAGTATAAGTAACCTTTTGTTTCCATTTTCTCTAAAAATTCACAATACTCCCAGAATCCTTTTGCAGAACCACATTTCTGTTGCTTCAAGAAAGAAAGAATGAACGAAATCCTAAAACAGAGTACCTCTCTATACACATCGTCCAAAAATACTAAGATCACTACAAAAATGGCTAATTCCTTTTTGAATTAGGGAGTTGTTCTCAGATTATAACGAACATGTAAGTGAACTGCAGATATACTTTTTAAAAAAAATATTTTATTCTATGAATAGTTAAACAATTTTGTAAATTCTGTAATTTTAACGTTGAAGATTCTCAGAAAATGCCTAGGATTTTCTTGCTTGCGTCAGAAAAAAAAAGCATTCTCAAAGCTGAGCTGGATGATTATTGTACTCAAAGACCTCTCCAGATACTGCAAAGTTTTATGCTAAATTTACGAAATCCTGCGCTAATCACTATGAACCGGAACTTTCTGAAGAATCCTGACGCTTATGGCACGAAAACAAGATTTCTAAGCATAATAGACGACAAATTGTAATAGATACTATAGAAATACTATTAAAAGATTCTCAGAAAATTACACGTACAATAAGCCAGATGCAGAAAGCATCCAAATTATCCGTTCATAATCTTGGACATCATTAAGCTTAAACAGTGTTCGCGTAAATACTGCACACAAGCTAGATATCAGCGTTGAGAAATGATCCTCAAAAATCACACATATCTACAGAATGTAATATGGACATACAAAAAGTGATTCAATTTTGACAGTCATGTCTACTACAACCTTTTTTATATGGTCTATGACGAGAAACAAAGATTACTTGTAGTTTAGGTAGTGGAGGAATTATGACTCGTGATTTTACTGGATATGGGTTACGCTGTCTAATTGTTAATAGAATTTTGACAGAAATCAAATAGGATGAGACACTAGAACACAGCTTGATCCTAAATCAAACTAATAGAGAAGAAAGGAAATAATAACCCTTCAACAAAGTAATGAAAGTTGGCATTCTGCAAAGACAACTATTTTCTACCTCAGTATTGACTTTTCCTATGTAATAAAGTGACCGGCTTTGATTCCAGACCTCAGTTTCATAGATAATTGAAACTTAAGACAAGAGAGTGTTATACAGGCAACATAATGTTACATTTTTTACGAGCTGAAATAGGCTAATACGGATGCACAGGAGAAAGCTCTTCACTATGCTATATAAATTGGCTCACACTGACAGATTGTTCCATTCAACTTTTCTAGGCAAAAGATGCAGCTATAAAGTATTAACTTTTTGCTAAATGTTTTGTTAATAAAAACATACTTGATTTTGGTGCAGTTTTTATAATTACTGAATATCTTTTTTTCCGGGCTTTTACGTTTCCTAAAAATTAACAAAAGAATTTACAACTACAGTGTAAAAATGCTTAAAAATAACTTAGAAACATTTTATAAACTTCTGAATTCACATTTGAATAAATTTCATTAAAAGATTTTTTTAAATTCGTTTTTTTATAGTTTCTGGAAAATCTGTACGAAATATATCTTGCTTATGAGATAAAAAAAAAAAGAAGCCAGTGTAATTCAAAATATGGGTTAATCCAGCTAAGCGTTAAATAGTAGAGCAGACTCTGCTAACCAGCCTAGGAGAAGGACAACTCTGAATTAAAAACCGGTTGCATGGGACAAGTAACTCGTTCCCGTAAAAACCTACTACTTGCTATAGTAACCATTTTAGCAATGCCTGTTGAAAGTTGTGGCCACTCACTCCTCAGAGAGTCTACAGGATTTGAGTAAGTGCGAGTAATTCAGTATGATTTTGCACAACCAAGAACTAATCTAGCCCAAACTCCTTGTTGTGTGAATTTAAGACTTACTTTACTGCTAGAACATGAATGAAGTGATTGAATGAAAATGCAATTAGCTACTTAGCCATGAATGTTTTACTTCGTTATTTCTTAATGACGAAGTGGGCAGCGTAATGATTAGAGATGATCACACGAAAATCTCAAGTACAGTCTTTATCATAAACGCCCCATTCTATTACTAACATACACACTCAATTTATGACTAACACGTGTACGTTTTTGCACATGCACATATTCTGTCTTCCGAAGATAAAGCCATAAAAATGACAATATTGCAATAAAACACAAAGAAAGGCGTAAAAGCAGTTCGATTCAGTTAGCTTGTAAGCAACTCTATTGAGGCTATTCAGAGTATTAGAATATCTATGTATTGTTCTTGGATATTTGCAATAGTGGTTTATACGAACTAAATATGCAAGTCAAAAACCCAACTGTTTGTTTCATTTTTTAACGCATTTTCAATTCAGAAAAAAGACGATCGTAACTCCACTATCTGTGAATTGCAATTCATTCTTGGGAAAACTAGTGGAGTAGTTCTCTTTTGAGATGAGAGAAGGCGCCCGTTCCCGAGGATTCCAAATCCCGCGTTAGTACCTTCCTCATTTTACTAAGAGGGGTCAGTGTAATATCGACGCCAGTCTGACATTCGTCGCAAGACGGGGTAATTTTGTCCATATGCGTGTGTATGGGAATCCGACGTAAAAAAAAAAAAAAAGACACACCCTGTCTTAGTGGAGATGTGAGGTAACTGCCAAGATAGTGGAGTGGTTTTCCGTTACCTTCTCCAGTTTGAAATTCAGAGTTCCATCTCTTAGATTGGTTGCCACTCAAGGCTACAGAGCCAAGTCTACTTTGCAATTCAATCTTTGGCTTGTAGGAGAAAAGACGAATTCATGCTTTTTACAGAAAGTGTGAAAGTGAACATAAACAAGGCTGCAATTTGAACTCAGCTCGCCGATTCCTCTTTCCGTGCCAATATCCGTTACACTACCTCCAGATCAGTTCGTTTTATTACCAGATGAAGTATGCTTACACCTGCTATCGAATGATGGTCAGCATGCTCATCTTACAAACGGTTGTAAGTAAAGGAAATCAGATCTTTACTATAGTATCCTTGTTTCAGACCATGCTAAAATATCTATTATTTGGTATATCAAGAAATTGAAACTTTCTTACCAGATTAATGAATCCCAGGGACATCGCGGCAAATGAAGGAGCAATGGAATTTCTTGAAAAAACAAACAAAAAGGCTGCTATGATGGAGACGCAAGTAAATAGTAAGTCCATGCGAACACCAACCCATCGTAGACTAGCATCAAACATGAAATTGACTGAAGAATTTACGTCATTATGATATCGAAATCTGAAAGTGAAGCGAAAAAGAATTAACTGCATTTGGCATAGTGCTCATTTTTCATTACATATACAAAAAATTAAATAACTCATCAGGATGCAATAGTTAAGAAATTGGTCACGTATATAATAATTGCAGGGTAGGATGTTCCGTGCTTGTAACTTTGTAAACTCAGTAAATAAGTATAGGAAACTTTTATAACTAAGAAGAATTAAAGAAGAAAAAAAATGAAACTTTCATGATCTGTTAAATCACTATGTCATCAGAGTAACTTGATGAAAAGATCAAGTGGTTATCTATTAAGAGTTATACAACATTTTCCTTGGATCAATAAAAGGATGCGACACGTGCATCAGAGATAGGTGTTTGAATTCAAATAAAAATCAGGATTTCGAAAGCTAATTTTCTAAGAAGGGAACATAATGTAATTTTCCTCCCTTTGGCTTTATGCCATACTATGTTAAATATAAAAAGCTATCCGAGATAATTTCGTAGCCCAGCAGTCGATATTTTATAAGAATCAATCAACAGTTTGTTACGTTTCAATAAATGGAATTCAGAGTAGCAGGCATTAACTAGTAAAAGAAAACTAACAAAAAATGTAAAAGCATCAAAAACATATTCCAAATAAGAGAAATACCGCGTATATCAGTTGAAAACTAAACTGGTGACATTCCCTCAACTTCGAGCGGCCTTGAGTGTCTATTTGGACTTTAGCTCAACCTAGATCTCGAATGGAACTAGTACATACGAGCCACCGCTAAAGATACTGGGAAATAGTCAGTTCGCTGTACCGCTCTAGTAAGTACTTGACCCTCCTGATATCTTCTAGATTTACAAGAGCCAGATCAGGATAAAAATGAAGTACAGCTGCTATATACAGACAGGAGCTGCTCAGTTTTCACTTTCCAGATAGAGCCCAGAAAGCGTCTCCACGTCCTTTCGCGTGACGATTAATTTTCCATCCTGCAATGCCTTTCGCACAGACGAAACGTATCAAGTATATCGCTGCTCAATCGCTATTTCCATAAAAAGTATTCATACGAACTACATTAATCTTCAGGGCTAAGACCTATGTCAGGCACATTGTAGCGGACTACTCTCATTCCCTTCATATTCTACTGGTGACGAGTAAATTCCACTCCGACAGCTTCTTCCTACGAACCGCTGCTTTGCAAAACAGACACCTAAGACGATACTTCCCTGATCACCACAATCAACCTGTTCAAACTTTGGAAAGTAGATCGGGTAGATAACTTTTCAGCACTGCTTCATGCATAAATCTAAAACATGGTATATTAGATTAATAATATCTGGCTGCACTGAATGCTGAAAGCGTTACATTTAAACGAAATATGTTCTAATTACCTGGGTATAAATCGATCTTGAGAATTCTGAGGTGTTTATTAAAGTTGAATTGTCATCGGATGCCTAGACACTTCACACTTACCCCTCATCCAAAATAAAATAGCCACGTTTCCATCTGATACAAAATGACTGATATATTTCATTTTTTTTATACTTAGAAGTGTGACTTATACGATAATTTATTCTGAATTAAATTTGTTCAGTTGGTGCCATTTTCTAACCTTTCCCTGAAAAAATCCTGTTGATTGAACGAGTTGATAGTAACCAATCCGAAGGCGGTGGTGTTCACGTGACTGAGAAGCGGGGAACGCTTTTCGTTCTCGATTCTCTTCAGTTGACGGACAGCTTGGATGGAGAAATAACGCAAGGCGATCAATCCGGCTAAAGCCGGAATAAAGGCGAATACTAGCCATGGCTCGACCTGAATGGACGTCAGTATCACCAAAACTGACTGAGTACTGATTTGCACCATCAAGTCCAAAAGTTGCGGCAGGTTCACATCAGCTAAGAGGAAGACAAAAAAAAGTAAGCTTCAATGACGTTTCAAAAATACCTATTTATCTAATGCAGAGCCTGATAAATTTATCAAGTTTTTCAAGTGTACATGGTGTTACCTAAGTTCAGGGGGAGTTAACAAAAAATAAAATTTATATATAATTATTTAACCAAGCACGCACTTTCCACTGTCTCCTTCGAAGTAGTCCTCTTGTGATCCAACACACTATCACATAAAGAGTGCTGCTTACAAAGGGTAACGGCAAAGATCTGTATTACATTCAATTCGCGCGTTAGTCAAATAACTTCAGGACAGAATTTCTTGCGATTAAGATAGGTACCTCCACGAAATCGCTAAAAAAAGAGCATAGCTTGATGAAAAAGACGCCAACCTTGCCGAAAACTAAATTTTATTGTCTAAATGCTTATGTTATTATTTAGAGGAAAGACCAAAGTTTTTTTTAATTATTTTTAAAAATTTTCCTTCTTTTTAGAACATTCTAAATTTTGATTAAAAAACCTTTTTTTTCTATTTGTATCAGCGGAACTAGTAAATAACATAGACAATTTTTAGCACGTTTTTTGGTATGACACACATTAATTTGAAAAATCGTGCAAAAATAGAAATAATTATCGGATGTTAATGAAACTTTCAGGAACTATTCACAGATGATCGAAATTATTATAAATATGTTTTTCTTATGAAAGTCATGGTAGAAATATTTTTTTAAAATATTTATTACCCCCCCTAACTAATTTTATGAAAACGCTAGAAATTCGATCGCATCGGTTTTAGTGATTACAATAATTAAAAGCACAGGGCTTTGAGGAATGCAAATCATGTTTTTTTTTGTTTTTAATTGGATACGCAGTACCTGAAAATCAGCTCTGAATTGTAACATACAAAACTCAATAAAACAAAGATATTATTTAATTTCAAATGCTTTTATTTGCTTTTAGTTGTTTTTATGAATATGGACAATATTTTCTGAAAGCAAAAAAAATTTTTCGATGAAAAATGAATTTTAATACAATTATTTGTTATTTCATTAATTATAATAGATTTTACATTTAAGTTGTTAAAATATTATAAAATTAGTTAAAAGCCGCATCGGCTTTCATAAGTGTCCTTATGAGATAGATCTTTTTTTAGCGCGTTGTAAATTGTATCATTTTGACTAATCAGAAGATCCCCAGTAATTAAGAAATGTAATTTTGTGCTTATAATCGAGCTGTAATTATAAAATACGGAAGACCAACCAGAATATAATTAAGTTGCGTTATTTGAGTTAAGCATTGTTCTCCGCTGTTAAGGCCTTTACTTTTTTGCGAAACACGTGTGGAGAAGTTAATTTGATTTTTTCAATTTCAACTGAGAAGGGTACCTACAAGTATCAGTATCATCTTATGAAATTTATATGATCTTATTTTTATATTAATCTCAGTTACGACATTTTTCCATAAATGAAATATCAAAATTAATAATAAAATGAATGCAAATACAAATAACAGTAGAATGTAATAAATGTACATAAAATTATAGTATTTTATGTACAATTCTGATAAAATTTCATAAGAAAAAAGGTACCTATAAATTAATTAGATACCTTTCTTAAGAAATATGAAATTTAATGTCACTCTTAACAGTTTTATTTTAATTTCTTTACAATATATTTCCCATAAAGCATCATAAACGTAAAGGTGAAAGCTAAGTACAAAAAAAAAAAAAAAAAAAATTAGACCGCTGAAAGTTTTCGTTAAAAATAACGGGGTAAATAATTTGTTCACGTAAATGTAAATTATTTCACTTTTCTCCTTCCGTAGAACAAATTAGCCTCATGGAATTCGTAAATATGTCATTCATCACCTGTCAAGAGACACGAAAGTTTATGACCTGCTTTGTTTTATTTTCAAATTACATCTTTTTGGCACAAAAGCTAAGTTAAGTTTGGTTCAAAATATTTTAAATAAACATTATAATTTCTGATTTTCTTAAAATAAGTTTTGAAAAAATGATAATTGATATTTAAAAAAATTTCAAAGTCAGATTTCCATTTTTTTTTTTAAATGGAAAAAAATGGTCAATTTTGCTGACTCAAAAAAACTAGATTTTTAACGAAAATTTCGGACGTGCTAGGAACGATTAAAAAATGGAAAAAAATACCCCAAAAATACTTTGACTTTCCTCTTAATAATAACAAACATTTAGACGATAAAATTTTGTTTTCGTCAAGTTTGGCGTCTTTTTCATCATGCTATGCTCTTTTTTTAGCGATCTCGTGGAGGTACCTAGATTAAGAACTGGGGACGCGAGGAAATGAACAGTAGCAGTTGCTAATACACAATGGAGAATATAATCTGAAGCTTTGAGAACATATTTTCATTATTCCCCGAATAATAATTTCGAATATGTTCTGAAAGTCTCTTTGAAACAAGAAATATAGAGATTCGACTTAGTATTTTGGCTAAATTTTTATATAAAAAAAATGTCAGTTTAAAGATTATAGCTAAGAATCATACGCTAAGAAAAAGATGCAGTGGGAGATGGCGATTTATACCCCTTCATACATTTTTAAACTGAATAATTATATGCACATGCATATAAAGGGTGTTCCAATAACTTGGACCGATTTTAAATGTCAATTAAGTTTAAGCGTCTAACGATGTTTTTCTTTCAGATTTGACAATTGAGGTCTTTGACAATTTCAACCATGAAAAGATTATTAACAATCAAACAACGTGTTAAAGTTTCAAGATAGCATTTGGAAAAATTGTTCGTAAATTCAAACAAACTGGGTCGGTGACAGATGTGAAAACACCATTGCGTGCTCGGTTACGCCGTTCAGCTGAAAACATTGCTGCAGTACACGAGAATGTGGCCGAAAATCCAGACACCTCTATTCGTCATCGCGCGCGGAAATTGAACCTCCCCACAACAATATTACATAGTTTCCAATTGCACTCTCGATTGGTCGATTATGTTGACCCCCCGCAAAAAAAAAAAAAAAAAAATTGCAAAGTGCGCGAAATGCAATTCTGTTTGAACGTCCATTTTCGTAATAGGCTTTGATAACTTTAACATGTTGTTTGATTGTTAATCTTTCCATGGTTGAAATTGCCAAAGACTTAAGTTGTTAAATCTGAAAGAAAAAGAAAAAATATCATTAGACGCTTAAACTTAATTCACATTTAAAATCGGTCGAAGTCATTGGAACACTCTTTATATTGACAAAATGATATTAAAATTTATTAAAAGATTATTCAAATAATTTATGTTAGCATTAGTAGCAGGTTTAAGATAAAAAAAAATTTATTGCAATCTGAAAATCTTGCAAGCTATCTTGAAAATCTATGCAAATGACGAGTTGAATTGAAAGTCTTTTTTTTTTAGTGGATACCCATATTTAAGTAGACGCTTCGTTTATTTATAAACATATTTTCGCCTGAATATTAGAAAAATCTTATATGTGTGTGTGTGTGTGTGGATACACACACATGGGCAGGATTCGAAACGGAGGGCGTATATTTTTTAACAAGATTTATCGAATAATCAAGGCAAATATAGGAAAGTAAATATACTGTTTAAAAATAAACGGAACGTCTAATCAAATATGAGTATCCACTAAAAATAACGTTTAGTGATTAAAATCTATCGGATTAATACATAAAAATATATTAAATCTTTAGAAACTGCCTTGTTTGCAAGTCATCCTGAATGTCTAGAGATATCGATAACAGTTGCTATATCTATAGGCACTTATGATAGACAGAAATCACTGATTCAGCCTCAACACAAGTTGAATTGCTTTGTAAAATTTAACGATTCTTACTTACCTTCATCTAGATCTCGGGAAAAGCGATTGAGAATTCTTCCTGGTGGATTAGCATCAAAAAATGACATGGGACTTTTCATAACGCTCTGTAGTACTTTGTCGTGGATATTTGTCGACGCAGTCATAGTAACCTTCAACATAGAGTGAATTTTTTTTAATCTATAAATTCCGGCACTGTACATGTGATTGTATCGCTCAACAGAAATGCATCTGCACCCAACACACGTTAGTACCAAATTTAACGAGTCAGTCTGTCAATAAGCTTCATGCTATCTACTCCTGTTCAATTATTAGTCAAGGTTTTGCAACATTGTGTTGGGACAGTTCGCTGGTGTTTGTGATGCATGACAAATTCAAGCAACGTACCAGATTTTCCGTGAAGCCCAGGAACACCTGCTACAGAAAAACTTCAAATATTATGTTATTTTTACTGAACACTGGTTTCAAAGCCGGTCGATTGCCGGTTCGGGATGAGCAAGCAAGGCGACTAATTAGACCTGTTATACATTTAATATTAATTTAATATACTTAATTATAGTATTATACTTGATACTAATAAAGCCAATTATACATTTCCTTACCTTTTGCAAATTGGGAAATGCTTGATTCCTCCACCACTACCGTAAAAGATGAATTTAAAGGAAAACTAATGGATCCCTCTGTACTAGAGGACTATTCTTTCAGTGAAAGACAATATATCAGCTGACGTGTTTAGAATAAAATAGTCTCATGTCAAACAACGAGGCTCCTATATCAACAATTCCCAACCCTTGCAAGATTCGTTTTCGAGTTTTGACAGGCTGTATTATTTTGCGAAGTACCTATCCAATACTTGTAAATTCAAAACAAGCTTTATAAAGAAAACATTTTCAGTGATAATAGCTAGTTCAAAAAAAAAAAAAAAAAAAAAAAAAATGCACAGTGACGAAGACTGGTCAAAAAGAAAAAAAAAATTGTTGTTACGCCAATCTTCCCATCGCCTATTTGTGCTTTTGTGTCATACCAACCCTTCGAGTGAAAAGTAGCCAGAATTGAAAATTGGTTATTTTCTCTCTACGCCCACTGCCTGCTGTTTTATGATGCCAATCCAGGAAATAACCGTAGGAGGACAAATAAACAAATCTAAACAGGCGACCATAACGAAACCAAGTCAAAAAGGGAAAGAAAAAAAAAATGTACATTTCAAAATTATGACAGATCTTCCTTGATTATTTTAAAACGTAATAATTAATAATTGGATTCTTATTGATAGCTGGATTGATATGCCATAAATATAGGTAATCAGTTTGATTTTTTAATAATGCTACAACAGAAAGACAGTGAGTTGAATGACAAATAACCTCGTGAGGCGATATCATTATTGATTAACTTCATTTTCTTACGTTCCTCCACTTAATTGAAAAATACATGGTGCGTGTTTCGACACCAAATGTTAACAGTGTAAACACACAATGTTGATATTAGATACGTCGTTTAGTTCACTTGACGTCATTCAGTTGCTGCCCATTTAGAAACTTTGACTGTGAGCCTAACAGCAGTGGCAGAAGATTACACCACAATAGAACCTCCTCATTTAGCTGTATGCAATTGAACACATCTTCTAAACAAAACCGAGGAGGAAACTAAAAGTCATGGTTGATCCTACACGAGTTTGGTATTTAAAAATAGCAATTTAACTGAAAAACTTGTTGATAATTGTATTCTAACTGATAGTTGGATTAGAACGCTATGAACAGAGATATCCAAATCGATTACGAGGTGTTGTTGAAAGTTATCGGTTTTATCAATTTGGGATTTAAAAAGAGATTTGGCCGGAAATTGAAAAGTGATTTGAACCGATAACTTTTCAGCACGCTATAAAGATTTCGAGAAATTTGATTTTTAAAAGTAAAAAGTACTGCTCACAATAGGTAGCTAGAAAAGCCCGTACTATATTCGGTTTGCACGTTATCGTCAAAATCCTCGAAATTTCAGGTAACACCTCATACATAACATTAATAATCTGACATGGGATTGATGGAATATTGCATTATAGTAATCTGGTGTGTGTGTGTGAAGATATTACTGTATTTAAAAATATTCAAAATTCTGGTAACGGACAAAAAAAAAAAAAAAAAAAATGGTCGCTTACCTTAGCAAGAGAAAATCCTTTCAGCGAGAACACAATCGGGATAAGAATGGCGACACCAGAATACACTATCAAGTAGAATTTGTCATCGTTTTTATTTATAGAATTGTTAGTGACTGTCGAATTTGTCGTAGTGTCTGATGAGTTTGTGGTAAAGAATAGGATAGGAGAATACGTCGAGTTTAAATATGTTTGTTGCGTTGTGTTAGATATCCAAAGATCAATAGTTGAAGGTGCTTCACTCGTTCTTTCGCTTTGTAAGTCATTGACTGTGGAATTAGAGTTTTTCTGATGGGAATTCTGCAGAGAAAGAATATGGCATTTACTTAAAAAAGCTCCGTATTTCCAGAAACAATGCTAATTACAATAAAGTTATGAAGTTTAATTAAAAAATATTCGAGATATGATGGAAATTTCCAGAAAATTGCTTATGACCTGAATTTAATCGCTGAAGATTTAGTCAGTTTGTACCTGTGTATATACAAGAGCGACGATCCGAAAGTAATGTCCCTTATTGTATTTCCACAGAGACTACATATACAGATAGTACAATAATAGGATTCGATAGAGCAAGTTTTCAACTACAAATTTTCCACATTCACTGCCAGTGATTATGCATTTTCGCCAGCAATGAACAAAAACTTGCGTCCCCAAAACAAGAGAATATAGTTAATTTCCTATCAGCCGGAAGAAGCAAAACAAAATATACGATAGGTGTAAACGCTCAGCAAACATTGATGAATGTCAATATGTGCATTCTCCTACCCCCCAATAGTAATTCAGTTGCACACTCCTGCTTCGGATGCACATTCATGTCAGAATCCGTTTTGGTAAATTGCCGCTTATATGCTATCTGTAAAATGGAAAAAGATGGATTATTGTCCGGAAGTTTCAACGCCTAATGCCATACCATCAACATCTGCTTGGGGCCTTAGTGAGACAATATAAAATAAGAGGTTTTATTTTCAGAGTGACCCTCATAAGTTTGGTGAGGAGCACCAAATCAAATACCTCTTGCCATTATTTCATTAATCCCATCGTGATACTACCTTGTCTCTTCAGTAGATAGACTATTTAGTGTTAAAAATGCAACTAAAAAGGTAAGGTCGACAGATAAAAAAAAGCACACTTTTTAGAACTGTGGGTACAACATTAGGCAAACATTACCGTAGAAGTTCTTTGGGTTAGAAGATATATATATATATATATATATATATATATATATATATATATATATATATATATATATGCTCGCACGCTCTTCAAACGTTGTTTTTAGTGGATACCCGTATTTGAGCGCACGCACTATGTATTTAAACAATATTTAGTCTAGCGGCTTGTGTACTCGTGGAAACTTAAGAAAATGTACCCACCGGCAGGATTCGAATCTGCGTCTTTCTTCACAGGAGGAACCGCCGTCTGCTCTGGTGTGCTTTTACTACCCGGCTATTTTTGCATTTAAACACATTTACTAGTTGAAATTTATACTCAAAACGTATATCTCAGTTTATTATCCGAAATGTAAACAAAGCAATTTCTAAAGAATAAATGGATTTTATTTTTTTAATCCGACATATTTTTATTACTTCAAAAGGTTATTTTTAGTGAATTCCTGTATTTGAGTTGGCGCTGAGTTTATTTCGTCTACCAGACTGCGTACTCGAGTACAAAATATTAAAGAAAAAGAAACGTGCCCTCCCGTAAGATTCGAACCTCCATTCCTCTTTGTAGGAGTAATCGTCGTCTTCAGATTTGTGTTTGTAACAGATTCCCACAACGAGTAGCTAAAATTAAATTTTGAATTCCAGAATTTTCCATTCTGTTAAATTTGAAAATATTCAAAATATTTATTAAAGTTAGTACAGTCAGAATAGAAAACAATAAGTGAATAGCAAGAACCAACCACAATAGATATTACTTTCAAGATTAGCCAGTGTCACCAACTCAAAAAACACTACTTGTAGATATTTTTGAACCACATTTAGTGTAGAACAAATTCTTGAGTTTGTATACTTACGTCGGTGTTAGTTATCCAGTAACTTAGCCACCAGTTACCGAAAACAATCGTCGCGAAGGCTAAAGTATAGCACAGTAGCACTAAGAAGAAAACCATGTAACCTCCTCCTGCTTTCATATAATGACGATACACAACTGGAGAAATGCTGCCCATGGCTACATTTTCTTTTAGGGTAAGCGTTCCGTCTGTCAAAATAACAATTTTAATAGGTAATATAAAACATTTGGCTTTTTTTAATCATCTACAAAATATTTATTTTTGTAAGATGAATACGAAAAATAAGCAAATAGTCAAAAATTGGAGGTAGGTAGGATGATTGTTATCACTATCCTAACTTAGCTATTCCCCCACTTGTTGGCCAAAACAATTTTCACCATAACTTTACCTTTATTCAGAATACTTCAATTATGCGCCGTGTCCTTTACAGCTCTTAATAAGTTGCCTTTTCGTTATCCCTCCCAAACCCGGTTTCGCCATCCATTTGCTCAAGCCCATCAAGTATGTTACGCGCCTCTTTCTTCTGTCCCTCTGCTCTGTGAGTATCAGATTTTCCAAGACCTCCTTCTATATTACGTGCCCCAGAAATTTCAACTGTCTCTTGTTGACGTTAAGTATAAGTTTCTTCTTTGTTTCCATTCTCTCCAAAACTTCATCGTTGTTCACATGTTCGGCCCATTGCACCCTCAGCATTTTTCTGTAGAACTACATTTCTGTTGCTGTAAGTCTCCTCTTCATCTTCGAGAAGATTGTCCAACATTCGCTGTCATACAGGAGGATAGATATCACGTAACAGTTCAGTACTCTTTCCTTTGTTTCCAACGAAATTTTTATGTCCCTTAATACACTGCTTAGCATTTGGAATGCATCTTTGGCTAGCTCTCAATACGTCTTCGGTTATCAGGAAAAGGGTGAGCCCAAAATTACAGGTCGGGGATTCAGAATATTGCATTCGCATAAAGTAAAGAAAAAAAATCTATGAATATTCCAACTATTCCTATAGATATGTTTTGGGGAGGGTGAGGAGAGGAGATAAAAAGATTATTAAAAAAAAAAAAAAAAGTAATGAAAGGAATAATGAATCATATATACAAAAATATGCCAGTACAAGACAAACAACATAATGGGAAAAAAAAAGAAATACGAAATATTAAAAAGAAAGTAAGCCATTTTCCGTTCATCATAACTTTTGTCATCTAACATGGTAGGGTTGAGTTAGTAACAAAACCCAGTATCCATACCATCTCGAGTTAAGCTACAGTTCCAAAATACAAAAAAAGCACTTAAGTGAATTACAATGAAGATAATTTTAATATGAATACCTATATAAAAAGAATAAATTTAATACAAAATATGTTATTTAGGAGTGATGAGGGCGTTGGTCATCTAGACTATAACTAACTTAGTTAATTAGTTACTTTTATTGACCAAAACAGTACGAGATATTCCAAGAAAGTAATGCTTCCTGTTTATTTACACGAAAATTATAACGGATACAAAGAGCACAATAACATGATCGTTGGATAGAGCAAGTTTTAGCTTCAAAACACTATGTTTTCCTGTTTACCAGCATTGGTTATGCATTTTCACCGACGATGAACAAGAGACTATGCCACGTTCGTAAAAAGCTGCACCAGCGGAATAGAACCTCTTTATCCCTGTCGATATTGTTAAGATGCATTACCCACCACCTGTGGCCACGACCACTGTTAATGAATATGAGAGCAATTCTTTTGCAGAAAAAAATGCACCTCTACCTGAATAGAGAAATTCACTGACACACCTCTGCGTCGTACGCACTTTTAGATTAGACGCTATTTTGCCAGACTATTGCTTAAATGTTAACTGTAAAAGCAAAACATTATTGGTTTGGGTGAAAGGCCCAACCTTTACTACCACACCACCAGCATCTGATGTGAACCAATAGGAGGCATTAATTTCGGAGCAGCCTTCTTTCTTCGTTATTTCTTCTACTACACTTCAGTGTCATATGTACTAACATGTCACTCATTGTCTATGAAAAATGACCTTCGATGGGTGTAAATGAATGATTTAGATCATGCAATTAAAAAAATTAATGCGAGTGAAAAATATATTACCAACAGGTCTTAGTATTAGTCTCCCTCCTTCCTAACAATCTGATATGGCAGAATTGTAAATTAACCAGTTTACGAACGGATGTGGAGAAAATAGACAAAAAGATAATATTCGATAAAGATCCTCATATAACTTAAAAACTTTCTATCGTGTGACGGGAGTCGGAGAGAACGTATGAAAATTTATAGGGAAACAAAATCCATGACAAAGCATTTTTAAGCTGCAGTTTTCAAATCAATGTTCAGGCGAGCTTCATTTCTTAGTTCCAGCAATACAAACCTTCACAACTAGGACACGTTATGTCATGTAAACCGAGTTGATTCATCTTCATTTCCATCGTAATTCCATTGATAAGGAAGAACTTCCACTCAAACAACTTCTCTGGAACATATTCAACGAAAAGATTTTTCTCTGATCACTACTACTTCAGCCTAAGATCAACCTTTATCTACCCTACATATCCTCATAATATGCAACCCTTACTCCCTCTTTGTACGCTCATATAACCACATTTAGTAACCTCGAGTGGTTGTCGGGCCTTGTATAGAATGAACAATAGTATAAAAATCGAACAAAATCCAAAAGAAAAAAACTACATCTTACGTAAGCTGAATGGATATCTTTTACAGTTTAAACTTATTCACTAAGCAGTAACTTAGTGTTATACACTCGCCATAATTTCACCCAATTTTTGTTGGATTCTAACAATTATTTTTATTCTCGATTCTGATCTTAACCATAATCTGATGCAAATTTTCTATGAAACACGAGAACAATATAACTAAGTTTGCACAGCAAGTTTACACTTTACAGTGAAAGATTTGCGTATTCTATGATTTCTACAACAAATACATGGCGTAACAACGAGTTCCGCTGCGAAAGACTTTTTGCTGATTCAAAGAATTTTCCAAATAACCAGCGAGCTAAGTGATACCTCATCGATACTCGAACTCTCGAACGCCCACAGCAGAACGAGCGCCTCTCTTCATCACACCGCCTTCTTCAATGAAAATGACCGGGATCCTCCTCATGTAAGTGAATACTGTTTTTCTTTGTTTCCGACGTGTTCACATTGTGCAAACATCCATCGCAGAAAGGACAACCGAATAATATATGCTAGGACATCACTAATTTTGCCATTGATAAACCACCCCTTCAGAATGACAGAGGTAGTAAAACTGACGGTGCCCTATGACCTCCAAAAGATTTTAATCAAGTCTCTTTCAAGACTAACTATATTGATACACGGGGTGTAAGTAAATATCGAGATTCATTAAAGAATAAGCCATTTCTCTTTATAACATCCAACATGTGTGCCTGCCGAATTCGTGAACACAAGCGTACAAAATTCCATCAAGGAAAGCCTTACTATCAAATAAATTTAACGCGAGCTAATATTAGAATATTCGGCAGCGATATCGCGAGAGCAGGCTCACATTGGCTTGCAAAGAGCTTAGTTTCTTGTAAAAGAATTGCTCTTTTACTTTGGATCTCACCTTTTCGATCCTTGAAAGTCAATCGCCGGCGTTGAATGTTAGGAAAGAAATTTGTTTCATTTCGTTTTCAACTACCGATCCTTCTGCTCTATAGAGGATTGGGTGTTTTTATATCCCTTCAGAAGTATTGTTTGAATTTAAATTGTTGATTCAAGAAGATGGTCACTGGTTGTGACGTATTTTAAGTTTCTAACTTTCCTTTTAAACGTGTACATTCTTACCTGATTGTCCGTTCTCGTCTTTCTCTTCGCCGGTGGAGTCAGATGATGGGTTGCTGTTTGAATAAGTAGGATTGTTTGTTAATTTCTGTTTCTGGTCGGCATTTTGATTCCACGATTCAAAATCACTCGCATCTGAATCAATAAAGTGAGAAAATACAATAATTAAATCTTAATTTACAAGCACTTCAAATAACCTATTGTTATTGATCAATACACCTCCCTAAATCAATGCTCTCTTTACCTCTCCGATTTCTGACTGAATAAAAAATGACTTCCTGTCAATATGGCTTCCTCCTTCTAAATAAAGAATTGTTTGTCTGGACCAACGCCTTTGTTCATAATCCCAACCACCGATAATTTGACATAATACAATTTAATTCACTTTGCAACATCCTTAAATTCATGCAATTAAAGTAGGGTTTTAGCAAAAGATAAGAATGATAACGTTTTTGCTTCGCCAGTTATTTACGAGTTCGAACCACACAGGGTTCCATATCAGCAGCTCATTTTAGAACAAAGATAAAATAATTCTATTTTCCCTCTAAACGACACGAATAAATTATGCCAAAATCTGCTTTACTTCAAGTATCATATGACAAAGTTTTGGATTTTAAGCAGATTTTTTTTTTAATTTAGTTCTAAATATTTAAAATTTTCATAATCGTAAATTTTCTAATCGCGATAAATTCCTCGATGTGTATTTGCTATAGTCCTTAAAAAACTGATTTCTGATATTTACCTAATGTTGGGTTTTTATTCTCCTCTGTCAACGGCTTAGTGTAAAAAGTTTCAATCATTCGTGCGTAATAGCCGTTCATTTGCAGAACTTCATCATAAGTGCCACATTCAACAATTCGGCCCTGGTCCATAACGAGAATGAGATCGCAGTCTTTCAGGTACTGAAAAAATATAACCAAAACGTAAGTTATCTGTATAGAATTATAAGACTCTAAAGTCTTGGCCGTCAATCAAGATTTAAAAAATATGGAGGCAACACAAACGAACATGCACAGCGGTTATTGATGGTTGATACATGATAATGTACCTGTCAGTAATTGAAGCAAATAATTAACTTTATTCATAGCCTAATACAAAGTAGTTTCATTATTTGGCTGTTATGACCTTAAAAGAAGAATTATTTTCGTAATAAAATGCTTTGAAACTAACTTAGTTTCAAACTAAGAAATCTACCAATCAATGCTTTTAATATTTTGGTTTTGATTTAAGAATCATGTTTCTGATAAATTAATTATACATAAAATAGCATTTTATTGGTAACTGAATTTTTTTTCTTATTTGAACACACAACATGACAATTACCCACTTAGGTCCTTAATCTTCAGATATTTACCTATCCTCTTAGAAATAGTTTTGTTAGTACTGAAAATGACTAAAGCTATACGATGACGTGGTAAAAAATCAGTTTGTAGCGATAAAAGTTACTTCCTTGTCTGTACATTTTAAATTTAAATGCTGTTGGTGGCAATAAATAAATGTGGTTTTCTCCTGCTGCGATTACTGTGTCATTTTATATTTAATTATTTTAAGTGCTGACATTTATTTAAGAAGTCCTACCTACGATATATAAATAACTATAAATAAAATACAGTCATAAAACGTGTTAAATCAAACTCCGGTCAAATTTTTAAACTTAAAAAACAAAAAAAAAAAGTGTGTTCATAATCCAAATTTATAAAAACAAAGTTGATTTTATTAATGATTTCCATACTCATTCACCCAACACTTTTTTAAAAAAAAGAAGTACATCTATATATGGACGAAAACTTTTGAAAATTTGCAAGAATCTGACAATATGTAGAATTTTGCAAGTTAGTTAAAACCATTTCTTTTAAGCTCTAGGTAAAATGTGATTTAAAATTTCTATGCAAAGCAAAAAAATCACGTAATACAAGACAATTTCAAAATAAAACATGAAACGTGCAACAAGTATTTTTCTTAATTTCATGACCTGGCGAAAAAAAAAAAAAAATAAATAAAAGGCCAATGTAATTAAATCATTGCAAACAATGAGATATTCATAATGGCTGGACATTTTGATATAATGCAGACACCAAAACGAAAGTAAAATACTAAAATCTTTCAAGTTACAGAAAGAAAACATGAAAAATCCAAAGTAAACTCAAAATAATTGTTAGTAGAGAAACAGACGAGATGGTATTGTTGCAAACTTATCATAATGGTGGATGAATATGAAAATAGAACATAACTAGCAATACTATTAATATGTTAAGTGATTACTTCAAACATGATTGAGTTATTTTCCTCTGATAAATTGCAAGGTTCAATTTAAGTAAAACATCACAAATTGTGTCAGACTGATTAGTTGGTTTATTTTACATGTCAACCATTACTGGTTTATTTAATGCCAAATTTTCTTATTAAGTCTACGAGCATTTACTTTGTAACCTTGTGTGTGTGTGTGTGTGGTGGTGGTGGTGGTTAAAGTAAGTGCATTTTAGGCTCCACTGACACAGTCGCTATTTTATTGTTTTTCTTTAATTATTGGCCCTTATTTTCACAATAATAATGCTAATTGTATAGAGTTGGCATTCGACAAAGTATTCTTTCTTATCTGATTATTAAACACAAAGGTAAAAACCATCTCCGGTTTTTAAAAATAACTGACATTAACAAAGTGATCTTGGTTTTTAAAAATGGATATATTTTAAAAGATTCATTTTAACAACGTTGTGGTTCTTTTTATTCAAATTTATACATTTCTAAAATGTTTCAGCAATGTTTCCCATCGTTTATAATATTGCGTATTATTAATCAAACTCTGCTAACTTACCTGCAATTGATGGGTAACCAATATAATTGTCCTTTCATGCATATATTTCTTAAAGCATTCATAGAATATGTGTCTTCCCACATGAACATCGACTGCTGAGAGGGGATCGTCTAAAAGGTATATATCTCTATTGCTGTAAACAGCTCTGGCTACACTCACGCGTTGTTTTTGCCCACCGCTTAAATTGGTGCCTCTATCGCCGATCTGGATTGTAGTGATATCAAATATAATGAACGTGTAAAAAAGAAAAAAAAAAGAATAATAGTCTTAGGAAATTTGATATAGCTTCTGAACTTATTAAAATACAAAGCAACATTAGTTTACTTTATCTTTTCAGTGATGCTACCAAGAAATCACATTATTAATAAAGTAAGATATCATACTGAGAAAAAGCGCAGGAACTTTACGACTTTTGTAACTTAACATCCAGTAATATTACAAAATCGCTAAAAAAAAAAAGCATAGCTTGATGAAAAAGACGCCAACCTTGCCGAAAACAAAATGTTATCGTCTAAATGCTTATGTTATTATTAAAAGGAAAGACCAAAGTTTGTTTTTTTTTTTTTAATTATTTTTAAAAAATTTTCCTTCATAGAACATTCTAAATTTTGATTTAAAAAAAAAAAAAAAAAAACTTTGTTTCTCTTTGTATCACCGGAACTAGTAAAATAACAGACAATTTTTAGCACGTTTTTTTTTTTTTTTTGTATGACACCCATTAATTTTGAAAATCTTGCAAAAATAAAAATAATTGTCGGATGTCAATGAAACTTTCAGGAACTATTCACATATGATTGAAATTATTATAAATGTTTTTTTTTTTTAAAGTCATGACAGAAATATTTATTTTTTATATTTATTACCCCCCCCCGCTCAACTGATTTTATAAAAACGCTAGAAATTCGATCGCATCGGGTTTAATGATTACAATAGTTAAAAAGCACAAGGCTTTGAGGAATGCAAATCATATTTTTTTTTTAATTGGACCCCCCACCTGAAAACCAGCTCTGTATTGTAACATATAAAACAAAGATATTATTTAATTTCAAATGCTTTTATTTGCTTCTAGTTGTTTTTATGAATATGGACAATATTTTCTGAAAGCAAAAAATTTTTCGATAAAAAATGAATTTTTAATACAATTATTTATTTCTTAATTATAATAGACTTTTACATTTAAATTGTTAAAATATAAAATTAGTTAAAAACCTCATCGGGTTTCCTAAGTTTCCTTATGAGAGAGATCTTTTTTTTAGCGAGTTGTAAATTGTATCGTTTTGAATAATCAGAAGACTCGCAGTAATTAAGAAATGTAATTTTGTGTTTATAATCGGGCTGTAATCATAAAGTAGGGAAGACCAACCAGAATACAATTAAGTTGCGTTATTTGAGTTAAGCATTGTTCGCCGTTAAGGCCTTTACTTTTGCGAAACACGTGTGGAGAAGTTTATTTGATTTTTCAATTTCAACTGAGAAGGGTACCTACAAGTATCAGTATCATCTTATTTTTATATTAATCTCAGTTATGACATTTTCCATAAATGAAATATCAAAATTAATAATAAAATGAATGGAAATACAAATAACACAGTAAAATGTAATAAATGTACATAAAATTATAGTATTCTATGTACATTTCTGATAAAATTTCATAAGAAAGGTACCTATAAATTAATTAGATACCTTTCTTATGAAATTTAATCTCACTCTTAACAGTCTTATTTTAATTTCTTTATAATATATTTTCCATAAAGCATCGTAAACGTAAAGGTGAAAGCTAAGTACAAAAATAAAAAAAAGTTAGAGCGCTGAAAGTTTTCCTTAAAAATAACGAGGTAAATAATTATTTCACTTTCCTCCTTCCGTAGAACAAATTAGCCTCACGGAATCCGTCAATATGTCATTCATCACCCGTCAAGTGACGCGAAAGTTTATGACCTGCTTTGTTTTATTTTCAAATTACATCTTTTCGGCGCAGAAGCTAAGCTAAGCTAAGTTAAGTTAGTTCAAAATATTTTAAATAAACATAATTTCTGATTTTCTTAAAATAAGTTTTGAAAAATGATAATTGATATTTAAAAGAAATTCAAAGTGAGATTTCCAGTTTTTTTTATAAAATGGAAAAAAATGGTCAATTTTGCTGACTCAAAAAAAAGATTTTTAACGAAAATTTCGGACGTTCTAGGAACGATTAAAAAATGCAAAAAAAAAAATACCCCCAAAATATTTTGATCTTTCCTCTTAATAATAAACATTTAGATGATAAAATTTTGTTTTCAAGTTTGGCGTCTTTCATCATGCTATGCTCTTTTTTTAGCGACCTCGTGGAGTTACCTAAGTAATAAACAATAAGTAAAAAATCAAGCAATGTAGATACACCATGTGAACGAATCAGAATTGATACAATAAAAATTATAATCGCCAAGATGTGAACACGTACTTATATTTATTAGATGCGCGGTGGTGTATGAGAAATTGGAGAACCGAGTTGGTGTTCCAGCCTACTTCATTACATTTTTACCTGCGCACAAATTCTCTTGAGAAAAGTATGAAACCATCTCTTCTTCCCCCAGCTATAGATTAAATAGGGATTGTGCTCTTTAGCCATGGATGGTAACCAGTCTAAGAGAAGAACGACTCTGAATTGAAATCCGTCTAGGAATGGGGCTAGCAATTCCATTCCCTAAAGTCCTACTACTAACTACGAAAACAACAGAAGCATTGTCTAGAATGCTGAAAGCCTCATACTCCTCGGGGAGTTTGAGCGTTACATTTTTTATGCTTAGATACACATTATGTTTGCGTGAGGCCTTTTATGAAGGGTTTTTGAAATAGATGTGAAAATTTGATACATGAACAGGTGTAAAAATAGGTTTGTGCTCTATTCCGTTCTGATAAAAGATAAAAAGTATTTTGGTGGACTGATTTTTGCTTAAAGTGTTTGACGCCAGAAAACCAGTAGCCACATCATGAATGTCCAAAAAAGCCATAGATAAGATACCCTTAGAGACATTTCCTTCAATGACTAACCTAAAAGACAATACACAGACTCAACTAGTTGCCAGTCAAATAGCAAAAATGATCGCCAAGACGGAGTTTAAACATTTTGTATGCGATCGAAATTCCGTTGTACCGTAGTTGATTAAAGTTTTAGTTTGCTTGGAAAACATTCTAGCTAAGTTGATAGCTTTTCAATAAAATGCAGTTAATTTTGGAGTCTATAATATACAGGGTGATCCAAAAATCACACAACAATTTGCAGAAAACATACACTTACGAACTAGCAACCAAGAAAATTTACATGACATCATCTTCCATAATTCGACCAACAAAATTTCTTAATAATATATTGTCACATACAGAATCATGATTACATTTGGTAAATAAATATAAAAAAAATACAAGGTTATCAATGGTAATGCGACTTTTGGAACACCTTGTAGATTCAGTTCAATGAATAAAACTAAACTTAAATTTGCAAAATAAAAAACATTGGTGCACACGGCGAAGACATTGACTTTAAAAATAAAGTCTCACCTCAGTCTCATCGCCTTTAGCCAGTAGCTCCAAATCGGTTTTCAACCCACATGCGTGAATCACTGCTTTGTATCTGTAACATAAAATATTAACATGATGATTAATTAAAGCTAGTTATATGTAACAAATATTTTTTTTTCAAATTAATACTTATGATCAAATAGTCAAGTCGAAATATGCATGTTTAATTTTGCTAAGGTGTTAAGTTAGTATTTACATTTTTTATTTTATAGAAATTTGCATTTATAAAAAGAACTTACGTTAGGAGAGGAGATACAATATTTTTATCAAAACCATTCTATCTACAACTATTTTGAAACTTCAGCGATTAAAATAATTCAAAAGTATATTCCAAACATTTCAAGTTTAATAATCAAATAAAAAGTGGGGCAGATTTATTTTTATTAATTTTTTTCAAAATTTGTTCATGTGTTCAGAATAATATTCTAGAAAATTTATGAAGAAAAACAGTAAAATGCAAATTATTGAATAAATTCTTCAGACGAATCAAATGCGAGACAAAAGTCTAAAAGCTGCTCATTTTTATCGCCTATAAATTCACATATGGTAAAAAGTGAAAAAAAAAAAAATGAATAGTCCAAATTCTCAATAGACCTTCGCCATGATAGAAAACTTCATAAGATACGTGAATTGAAAATAATTAGAAAAAAAAAATGATGAAACAAAACCTTAGCTTACAAATTTGTTTCTTTTTTTTTTTTCTTTTTTTTTTTTTACAGTGAGTTACCCTTTACAAGGAGCCACCCGAGGTAGGGGGTAGGTAAAAAGGACATTTGTGTGTATAGGTGAAGGAGATAACGATTAACCCTAGCCTTGAATAGGTTAAGATTGTAGTAATAGGGGAAACACCCTCTTGGGAATCGATTCCACAGGGCAGTGGTTCGCGAAAAGAAGCTGTTCGAGTGGAACTTCTCACCGATGTAATATGGAGGGGATGTGGTTGTTTGCTACTATATAGTTGGCATGGTGTATCCTAGCCATGAAGGTTTGCCTTGGCAAGAACAGAGAATGTAATTCTACCGAGCACTTTCCATGGAAGTAGCATTAGACCAATGAGAGGCTTGCCGCATGCCGCCTGTGAGAGAGGAATTGAAGGGTTGGGAATAATTCATCACCCACAAGGGATTGGAGACGCTTTTGAACTCTGTCAAGACAGGAGAGTGTGGTCTTGACAGCTCCTGCCCAGGTATGACAACAGTACTCCATTTTTGATCTACCTCATGTAAAGGTAGAGGATAGCAAGAAGAGTCATGTGCTTTCTGGAACTGTACAGGGAACCTATCATTTTACCTGCATCTTTAGCGATGGATCGTATTGAAAAGTTACACTTGAAGTCGGGTATGAGTTTGAGGCCCGACAGTCTTTCAAGACACGGTGCTTCCCTGAGAGGAACTCCGTTCATTTTGATTGGTGATAGTTCATGGTCAAATCTTATGATTGAACGTAACTAGTTTTGTCTTTGAGGCATTGAATGTAACCAACCAGTTTTTACCTCACTAGATAGCTTGTACAAGATCGGAAGAGAGATCAGTCGCTAATCTCTGGTCATCGAGATTTTTAGAGGCGCGCCCGTATATAGTCGTATTGTAGCTTTTCTTGCTTAAAAGTCGCCTTCAGCGGTCTCCATCCAGTATCAATCTACTTTCTATCTATAAATTTATGATTATTTGTATGTTATCACTAAGCTTCAAGTATTCTTTCCTAATTA